TTTGAGACAGTATTAGACTTTCCGTCTTGCTAGGGTTAATTTTAATTTTATTTTTATCAAGATAGGGGACTAACACTCTGTTAACGTGGATGTCCAGTCTTCTGTTCGCGATTTCTGCAGATTGTGAGGATTTATATATACAAGTGTCGTCGGCGTAGAGCGCCGTCTGTATGCCATTATGACCCATAGGCATGTCATGGGTCATTATGGTGTACAGATGCGGCGCCAGTACGGAGCCCTGTGGTACACCCGCCATGGCAGTGTATGGTCCTTTTCTTGTATTGTTGATTTTAATATAAAATTGCCTGTTTTGTAAGTATGTTTGGATTGTTTTAACAATGAACACGGGGTAGTCATTCATAAACATTTTGTGGATTAATCCGTCAGTCCAGACCGTGTCGAAGGCCTTAGCAGCATCCAGTGCCACAACTACCGTTTGTTGATTAAGATTAAAACCCTTATTGGCATGGTGGGCGATACGTATGACTTGGGCCACTGTGCTGTGTCCGGCCCTGAACCCGTACTGTTCTGACGGAATAATTTGATTGTCAAGTTCGTGTGTGTGTATGCGTTTTAGTATTACTTTGTCCGTTATTTTCGCCAGTCCATTTAGGAGAGAAATGGGGCGGTAGCTTTCAAGTAGTTTTTTATCCTTATTTGGTTTATTAATTGGGATAATATTTGCAACCTTAAGGGCTGCTGGGTAGTACTGTAGTTTTAATACTCCATTAATGAGGTGGTGCAGCTGCACGATAGCTTTTTTTGATAGATTCTTAATCAGTTTATTGTGCATGTCATCGGGACCTGGGGCCCTCTTACTAGGAGATCTTTTTATTATTTCTAAAACCTCAGTAGGGTTGGTTAATACATTTGGAGGGATGTTTTGAATGGGCATTTTACTAATTTCCTTTGTGACATTTTGAATTTCAGTTTGTTCTATGCTGTTTTGTTGAGTGTTGACAAAATTTCCCTGGAAAAATTCGCCGAACGCACTCCCTTTCTGGTCGTCCGTTATGTAGGTGTTGTTATTGTGTCTCAGTGTGGGAAGTTGCGAGAAAGGCTTCTTAAACCTCCTCACCATTTTCCACACTGAGTTGTCGTGTATATTGATTGCTTCCAGGGTTTTTCTCCACGTGTTATTGCGATGTTCATTGATTTTAAAATTGATGTGTTTACCGATTTGTAACATGTTTTCCCTGTCCGCATCGAGTCTGTGGGCTTGCCAGCGCCGTCTAGTGTAGTTTTTGTGAGTTATGAGGTCAATAATCTCTTGAGGAAGATTATCTTTGTGCTGTTTACGCGTTACTTTTTTGGTAGAAAGCTCTCTCGCTTTGATTATAGCATTTGTAAGTTTAGAATATTCTTCCTCAAGAGTATTATTATTTGTAATGTTGCTGTTAATGTGTATGTTTTTGTCGAGGATTTGTCTGTATTGTGTCCAGTTAGTTGTGTTGTAATCATAGAACTGACCCTGGATTCTGGGGATCAAGCGTGTTGTCTTAATCTCCAGATATACAGGGTCATGATCCGACGTAAGTTCTTTGATGGTCCTAGTGTTGTCTATATTGGGAAGGTTCTTAGCAACGGCTATATCCAGGGTACTTGGCGTGTGACTGTTCTGGAAAGGAAAGTGCGTGGGGTCTTCGGGATAATGTATGATGCAGTCATTGTCATCGGCGAATTCATCCAGGTTTTTACCACTTTTGTTCGGGTTAACCCAATTGGAGTCCCAATGTGGGTGTTTGGAGTTGAGATCACCTAGCAAAAGGACCCTATTACCCGATGCCATGATTGTGTTTAATTCTACTTTAGTTAGTGTATTATGAGGGTGGTTATATGCCCCTATGAATGTAATATCTTGCACTTTAACGCATATGTGCTCCTGGGTGATATTCACGTTGTTTAACCTGAGATGAGGTATGTTATTCTTAATGATAAAAGCTACTCCGCCCCCGTTCTGCCCTTGTCTGTCTTGTCTTATGACATTGTACTCTTGTATTTTTAGCGAGTCTTTGTCTTTGTAGTGAGTTTCTGTGATGAGTACAATGTCAAACTTATGTTTATGAATGAAACTGCGAACAATTGCAGTTTTGTTGCGCATCCCGCGTGCATTGAAAAAACAAATTTTGAGTTTATGTGTGTGCTGTGAATGAAGTTCAGTTCCTAAGTGAGTATTGATTGTCAACGTCGCTCATAAACGCGTTATATGTCTCGATTATTTGCTGTCCGTTTAAACATTGTTTAAGTGCTGCGTTAAGCGCTCTTATCGCCCTTGTTAACTCACCTATGTTAATAAGCTTGTTGAGTTCGGCTAGTTCCTTGTTTAATGCTGTTACATCATTCATTGCTGAGTTATTAGGTATCATATTTCTCTTGGTTTCAGTTATGGTGGCCTCTACTGAATTCTGCCTGTTATTTTTGTGATTTAACGCTGGAAATTCTTCTTGTCTTCTCGCGTTGTTATTATTATTGTTTTTCCTCGCTTCCCATTGGTTAATTAGTGGTGCTGGTGCAGGTATAAGTTTACGCTGCTGCACTGGTTTCCTTTCCTCCAATCTTGAGAGCCTTTCAAGATATACCTTACATTTGGAGTAGTTGGCTGGGTGATCACCGCCACAGTTGACACACGTTGCAGGTGTGTCCCTAGTCTTTACACATGTGCGTGTGTGGTGATCACCCGCACACTTAACACATCTGGCTGGTTTTCCGCAGTTAGCGGTGGCGTGTCCCCATTCTTGACACGTGTGGCATTGAATAATTTGCTTGACCGACTTTCTGATTTCCCAGGTAACCCTGGTGTGCAGTATTCGCCTTGTATTTTTATTGAGGTACTCCAGGGTTATCGCCGGGTCTGTAACAACAAGAAAAAGGGGTCGCTCCTTCGTCTTCATGACATATATCTCCCTGGCTGTGATTTCGTGGTCGTCTTCGAGGTTTTCTTTGATATCTTGTATTTTTGTACCTTCTGCTAAACCTCGAAGGACGAACGCGTGTGATTTGTCACTATATGCTGTGTAAGTGTGATATGCTAATTTTTCGTTCTTTATGTTATTTAACACTTTTTCGTAATCATCTTTGCCATCGACAAAGAGAATTGTGGTTCTGTTAGTGTGTTTAACACTAAATTCTCCTTGTACGATGGCTTTAATATCCGCTATAAGCTGGTTGGGATTAGACGTTTTGCCGTCTATGACTATAGGCGGCATAGTGGTTTTTTGTCGGGTGGCTCTGTTGTCATTTTTGTTTCTATTGTTGCTCATTGTGCTGTTGGATAAATTTGCACTGGTGCTAGGCTTTTGCGGTAGAGCTTTTGGGGTTTCTTGAGTAGGAAAAGGTTTAAATTTTGTGCCTTTCTTCCGTTTCTTGACAATTTTGCCGATTTCGTCGTCTAGGTCGGATTCGGAATCGTCAGTGAGTACCTGATAAGCGTTGTGAATTGGAGTTAGAGTTTTCGCAGCTTTATCGCGAATCATTTTATGGAAATTTGAGCTGAATTTCCTGGGCACAGTGAATTGATCTTCTTTATTTTTATTAGATTCTTCTTCCATATGTTTTTGGTGTGTTTCTTGCTCATAGATGGCTCTTTGCTCTGCAGTCCTGGGCTCAAAGAGACTATTTGGTGAGTGTGGCAATTGTTCTCCTTTATCAAATATATCTTTGGCACTTGTCCTCTCCTCCTCTGAGGTGTGACTTTCATAGTGCATTATGTTATGTGTAACGCTTTGCGGGACATCTTTCCTTTTTAGTCTGGGGTCCGAATTAATCCTATTTTTTGGGATAGCACCTTGGGAGATAGGGGTGTTGTTTATTGTTGCACTGTTGTTTTTAGGTTTTTGTTGTGCTGCCAGTGGGGGCAGATACCCGGCTGGGGAACTACTCAGTTCATCCCCCATAGGAGTACCTCCCTCACTGCCAGTGTTATTCGTGGCTGGGGTATTACCTCCAAAATCTAAGTTCTTGGCTATTACATTGCCAGGCATAGCAAGTGTTTTGAATGTGCCTTTAGGCAGCTGTTCTTTCTGGTATGCGGAGAAAAAATTTGCAGTGGCTGTGTCTAGCTCTCCAGACTCTTTGACTGTCTTGGGGACTACTGTTGAGTCCATGTCTACATCTCCTTGTTCACTGTCCGATGATGATTCAGACGATTTTTCTAAGTCATCAATTAATTTGTCTACTGACTTGTAGGCATTATTATCTTCTCCTTGGGGTTCAGGAGTGGTTTGCATGGAGCCTTGGGAGGAGTGATACTCCATTTCCTCAGAGCCATCCATTGATGGCTTACGAGGGGTGCTTTCGGCTTCTATTTCGCTATTTTGCTGTGTACCAAGTCTTTGAGGGTCATTTGAAGGTGAACCGTCAAAAATTTTTTCGTGGGGGTCCCCTTGGGTCAGGACATTGACCCCGGGGTTAGTGATTAAGTTCCCACACACAGTACTCACTTTTGTGGGCTTCCTTTTGGGCTTCGGGCTAGAAGGGAGGCTGTCTGGGTACAGCTGACGATGTTTGTCTAGGTAACGGTACCGGCTTTTGAGGCGTCTTGAATACTCAGTTTCAAAGCCTTTCGGCGTTGTAGGGGCCCTACTGGGCTCGGACATAGACCGAGATCCCACTAGTTATGGTACTTACACTGGCGTTTTACGAAAAAATATAAGGGAAAATATATAAGGAAAGAAATTTTTATTGACAGCTGTCACTAGAAGTTTACTGCTTCGCGAATTACAAGCTCTACACCGCAAACGACGCCTAGGAGAGTCCTAGGTAAACTGTTTGAGTTTAGGTACGCTAAAGGGGGTGAGTTGGTCAGTATTTCAACAATTTATGACTTATATTAGCGCACCAAATGTATTTTTTGTTGTTGTGTACTAAGAGGGCAGAGTGATGCATTGCCGCTTGAGAAAGACAGTGACGGCCCAAAGGGAAGCGCAACCATCATCCACCCCACATCCAACTCTCGTTCGGTACAGAATAACTGTTTTTGACAAAATAAAATAAATTTTTAGTAAGAAATGCTGGAAACATAATACCCCATTCGCAACATTTTATGGATGAATTGACCACAAATGAGCCAGCAGCTTTAGAACTCGGATGCGTTGTTAACGATATAAGGCACATTATAGTGTGTGGACACAGCGACTGCAAAGCTATCAATTTATTATACAAATTACAAGATAGCGAATTTGCATCACAGGTAAGCAAAATCAGATTTTAACTCCAACTTGTTTTCTAAATTGCATAAAATTGCCATTTTCGTCTAGAATTCACGAAGTACAAGGAATATTTAAAGCTCTAAGAGTCTAAGCTGTCGTTCGACAATTTATAAATTTTCAATTGAGTTTAGATTTAGATTTAAAATTATCCCCAATAATTGAGGCATATATGCTACCACACAAATCAAATTAAACAGAAAATACGCAAAAAAAATCAGAATAGTGATATCAGTATTAAACTTCTTGTGCACTTAATTTTATTAAACGGTTATTTTTTTCATTGCTTTAAAATTTTACAAAATTTGTAATGCCGAATAAAAATCTATTGAAAGAGCTGGAAAACAACAAGGATAAACACAAATAAAATATTTACAACAGGAAATTTTGTAGTGTTGTGTATTTAAAAACCAAATTTACACATTACAAACATAACTTTATTTAACATTCGATTTTATTAAAGATTTTTTATTTAAATGAATAAAAATATGCTATAAATAGTAATACACTCTTAAGAATTTTTTAATATTGCACAATTCAGTTTTGCTATGCTAATCAATGTATAACTAAGTATTCGTTAATAAAATAAATATTAGTATTACAATAAATACAAATATATACATATTTATCACAATTTAATAATCAAAACGTATTATGGAAAACCTATTCTTTTTTTGCTATTACTATTTTCGAAATATAACAGTTTATGTCGGTATATATAAGCTTATTAAGAGGTCAATCCACTTTGGAGGTATCAAAGTTACACCAAAATTTATAGGTTAATTATAATATATTATATAGGATGAAAATGTTTAAAAATTGTTTCGATTTTGACCAAAAAATCTACACAATAGGTTATTTCGTTCGTCCTACTGGTGTATTCGTTTCGTTCGTGACAACAGCGCCAATTCATTCAGGTACTAATGGACTGCGTATACTGACAATAATTTTTAATAGTATTCGTAATTAAAAAGTATATATGTTAGTTTTAATAAAAGTACATGGATTTGTAAAACAAGTAAAACATTAATTTATTATTATATATTTTTATCAATTAAATTTAAAAAAATCAATAATAAAATATAGACAGGCAACAGTATTTACGGAAAAATATATGAGAAATTGTCTAAGTCTAATAAGTTGTCTTTGAACAATTAACCTATTGTCAAAATAAAAAATACCATTAAAAAATAGCGTGAAGTTAAAATGTGTAACCAGAAGGATTGTTATTTATATTTTCATTTTTGTTCGAAAGAAAACAGAATAAATGATTAAAACTGGTTTCCTATCAGTAAGTCACAAAATTGCATTACAGCCATATACAATAATCAAAGGCAGAAATTTTGAAATCTAGTCCTTGTTGAACATTTAAGAATAAAGGGATGTTGAAGAACATCGTAAAATGATAATTTATTGTTTATTTAAAACCTTTAAAGTTTCTGATATCTACTATTTCCAGTATTACTGTTATTATTACAAAAATAAGGGTAATTTTTCTTCTTATTGTACACCTATCCATTTATTTCTTTGATTTAATTTCCACTTTGCTACTGAAATTTTTTATAATTTTCACTGTTTTTTTTTTGCTAGTATTTTTACAATTTTCAACACAACAACTCCGGTTGCTTATTGTATTATTTTTACCTACTAAAAAAAAAAGGTAAAATGTATATGTGTATTTAATATGCCAAAATTACAAAATTTCGTCCTAAAATGCACGAATTATCCGTAGCTAGCTTCCCCTACCATGACTTCGCACTGAGCCAATGCAGGGGCAGAAGTTGGAAAGGCTTTTGGTAGGTAGAGAGGGGGGTAAACGTCAAAGCAACGTCAGACAACTTCGAGAATTTTGTAGTGATGTTTACCTGACAGCGTGGTTTGATAGAATAAATAATTTTAAATTTTTACTGGCGGAACCGGACAATCGCATGTATTTATGGACTATAAATAATTATGTATTATAATATCCAAATCATAATTCTACAAAATTTCAACAGCTATTCAAAATTTATTAAACTATTTACTCGAAATTGTTATTAACATCCTATAAAATAATTTTGTACGCCAATGTATCGCATCCACTTCGGCTAGATCCGCCGCAAACCTGTCAATTTATGTGTACGAAGTGGAAGAACTGGAGCCGTATTCTGCAACTAAGGGGAAATGAGTGTGAGACTTCTCTCTCACGATTTGGCCTTACTGCACATGTCATTCGACTAAAATTATAAGGAATCATGTCAACAGCGAGAGCAGTGTTGCAAGACCTACCATAATTATCGTATTTATATGATATACTGAAAAATTGCCTAATTTTTCGGCATTTTTATTTTCCAACTTACGAGCTAGATTGAATTTTTGTGACATACACACGTTTAATATTTTTGTAATATATTATTACATGCGTACAATTAAAAATATTTTTAATTACAGGGTGATTCACAAATGTGACGGTAGTTTTTTTGCAAAATCTCACTAATTCTAGTGTGACTCAGGGAAGCATTTTTTCAAAAAGCACCACTCGGTATAGTATTTTGTCGACTACATATTGCACAATACACATTTCTTATACAGGGTGTTCTGTCTGTATCTGTAACGTGTGGAGAGTGGGCCCATTGTGCATCCTCCTGAGAAGATAGGCACCTCGTAGTTCGTGAGCCAGCCTAGAGATTTAATGTAATTGACAACGTCGCCAAGAGGTGCTTTTCTTATATCGGCCGGTGTTAGCTGATACTCGCCGAACACAAATCTTCTAATACATGGCGTTAAAGTGGAGAATTGTTGATTTTAGTTTATATTTTCTTTAAACTGAAAAGCTAGATTGTCTTCTTTACATAGAATATAAATTTTGGGGAGATGTCCAATACAAGGGACAGTTTAAGACAGTTGCGGCTCGTAGTCAAAATATTGGTGGTTCACAATGACAGAATATAGTTTAGTTCCAGGATACGCTCCTGAAGTTATGTATCGTACTTATCGAATACCCTGTATATTTTGGACACAAGCCGCTAATAATTTTTATGGGGTGCTTCACGAATAAATCACAATAATAATATATTTTTGCAAACAATGAATAACTACAGTTGCGCCACAGATAAATTATTTCATTAATTTCTTTTTATACAGGGTGAACCATTTACCCAATCACCAAAAAATAAAATTATGCTTTGAAATTATTAAAAAGACGACCTTGTATTTTTTAAATGACTGTTGAATAAGTTAATATTATTACATTAAGTAAGTATTTAATCATAAGATTTTAAAATATACAGAGTAATCTGTTTCTATTAGAATATTCTGTATAGGAAATGTATTGTATAATATTTTATTGCCAAAATACCATATTGTGTAGTATTTTTTAAAAATATGCTTCCCTGACGTCACAGTAAAATTAGTGAATCACCCTGTAGCTAAAAATATTTTTAATTATACATATGTACTAAAACATGTAGTAAACGTGTGTATACAACAGAAATTCAATCCAGCTCGTAAGTTTAAAAATAAAAATTTCGAAAAACTAGGCAATTTTCAACTTTAACACCTTGTATACCGAAAACTAGTCATAGGATTAAGTTGAGCCAATTTACACTTTTAGTTACTAGGTTGAGTACAGTAACATACCAAAGTTTCAGAAAATTTGACCGGTCGCTTCTGTACATAAGGAAATACATATGAAAGGATAAAATTCATGACATTTTTAAAAATGTATAGGCAAAAACAATTGGAAGATCAAAATCAGAAAGGATTACATGATTACAAGAAAACGAAATTATTTTTGAAACTTTTTCTGAACAAGAATAGGTTGTTATTTTTTCTTTTGTTTTTTTTTTATATGATTATTCAATTAAATTATTGTCTAATTACCCTAACCCTAACCACATAAACTCCTAAATTAACCAACCTCTAATAACGTCACATTAGTAAGGCCAGTGTCGTGTACGATAAACTTACGAGAAAAAAAAATGTACAATTTAATTTTGATCACCTGGCAACTCTGGTGATGAATCAGTCGACTCACCGTCGAGTAGGAGAGCGCTTTCATGAGTTCGAGAATAGAGTAACTGGCAAAAACCTTTCCAACTTCTGCCCCTGCTATAAGAATGAACTACACCAACAGAGACTAAACCTTTCGTTTGGCCCAGTGTAAAATTCCCACCTTCCTGTCGGCGATGTAGTATCCACTGGTGTATAAGGAATAAGGAGGAAGTAAACTAGGTAAATAAGGTGGTGTAATTGACAGTAGTGCACACTGCACCAACAGCGAACGAAAGAACCTAATAATACAGATTAAGTATACGAGGTAAGCGCCAATAATTCCCGGCCTGACATAGTTGCAGATATTTTATCAGGATAAAAGTTTAACATTTTATAACTACAAACCTTAGTAGGCTGTGGTAACAAAATAAGCGACTTACGTCAAATAGTTTTTAATTGTCAGCATTTTAAACTAAAGTATCTCCGAAAATGTCTCAGGTGACGAAAATTGAGTACGAGCGGTTATTAAATTTTTAACAAAAGAAGGGCTTACACCTAAAATTATTAAAGAAAGACTCGATGGCGTATATGGCCAAAGTTCCCCTTCCTATTCGGTAGTAAAGGAATGGGCAAAACGTTTTCGCATGGGTCAGGAATACCTTGAAGATGACGAAAGACCTGGACGGCCAGTGGAGGTGATAACGGAGGACAAAGTAGCCCTTGTGGAAAACCTGGTGCTAAGTGACCGACGTTTGAAGGTCAAGGAAATGGCAGAAATTACCAAGCTTTCTGATACCACTGTTCGCCGAATCCTCCATGATCATGATCCAAACACCTTTCGGCGATTCAGAAGCAACGTCGTGTCGAGTGTGCTCGATCGTTCTTGGAACTGTGTGGAGATGATCCGAACCCGTGTTGGAAACAATAGTCACTGGAGATGAAACTATGGTTCTTTATTATGATCCTCTATCGAAAAGGGAATCAATGGAGTGGCGCCGTAAGGGTGAAGCCCCCCCCCCCCCCCCGCACGAAAATTTAGAGTCTGCCAATCAACGAAAAAGGTGATGGCTACGATCTTTTGGGATTGTGAAGGAATCCTTCTGATTGATTAAAAGAGACCAACACCACCGTTAATGGCACATATTATGCCGCATTACTTCATAAGTTGCGGAAATGTATTCGGGAAAAACGTCGAGGAAAATTAACCAGAGGCGTGCAGTTGTTGCACGACAATGAGCCCGTTCATACTGCTGGCGTTACACAAGCTGCCATCCTAGATTGCGGGTTTCAAAATATAGATCACCCTCCTTATAGTCCAGATATGGCTCCCAGCGATTATTATTTGTTTAGTTATTTGAAAAAGGACATTTTCGGGACGATTTTTAGTTACAAGAAGCCGTTTTGGCCCATTTTGAGAATAAACCGAAAGAATATTTTTTTAAAGGGATTGAATTGTTAATTAAACGTTGTAAGAAGTGCATTGAGATAAGGGAGATTACATTGAAAAATAATAAAAACTTGTTGTTGTACTTTGCCTCCTTCATTGTCAGGCCGGGAATTATTGGCGCTTTCCTCGTAAATAATTTCTGAGCTATCAACATAAGAGAATGAATTAACCCTTTTTGTAATAGTGAAATATACAAAAATATATATGTTTATTATTTATTACTTTATGTATGAAGCTAACAATGATTTATTATGTTTGCATTAACAATTTTAACAAATTTACACTTAAATAATAATAATAATACTTTCCCCTAGATAATACCCTATATAATAATAATCTCCCTATAATTCACCCCCTAACGAGTGGATTTTAACCCTGAACGCAGCCTGAGCTTGTGAAAGATAGGGACGACTATTTTTTTGCTGTAGCATTCCGGGGAAATAAAAAATCTAACTTTGGAAAAACAACCGCGCACTATTGTACCCATAATATAAGAGTTTGAACTCTTTTTCATACAAAGCGACCTTTTTTTCTGTCAATACCAGAGCTTGCCTCAACTTATTATCATAATTATCAGCAACAGACATTTGCTCTTTAATCTTGATCCTATCGGTATTAAATTTCTTTTGCACAGATTGAAACCAATGCAAACTGTTCAACTTATCCTGCTGATGCAAAATATCTACGATATAAGCTAAACCCAGCGCGAAACCGTCATCAGTGAACGTATATTCCGTCTTATTTCGTTTATTTAACCTCTCCTTGCAATTCAAAGAATATTCTATAAAGTTTATGGTTAACGGGGGAAAAATGGCGTAAAAGTTTTTCAAATGAATGTTTTGTTTGTTACGTAAAACTGGCACGAAAACTTTTACCAACAGTTTAAAATATTCGGTAGCATCTTCTATGTTATCTAAATACATTTGTAACGTTTCCAATAAACCGTCGGTTGCTTTTTTGGTCAAATCTGGTATCGGTTCGTTGTTAATAGCGTCTTTTAATGAAGTATTTTTCAGATCGGGGATGAAACACGTTCCATCTGCCAGACATCTTCTACCTCCCGATCTTATTAATCTGACATATCCGATGGCGTTACCAATTTGTGTAACGACTTTTCTGAATAAGTCTAAATAACTCTCGCCTTGTTCGTTTAAACCTAACTTTCTAATGCCTGTATTGAATTTTTCCGCCCTTTCATATGGGTACATTTGGTTTAGTTCGATTTTGTATTCAGAAAAAAATCGCAAATCCTTTATCAATCTAGATTTAATATGTTCGTCGTAGATGAATTGGGAAAAAATGTAAAATTTGCTTCTTAAAAATTGATAGGTGAAATTCACAGTGGTGTTCATGATGCCTATGCCGTGTGTTCGAATAGAATTGGCAACTTGAGATATATTTATTGAGTTCAGATGCTTATTGTCGCTCATTCTTTCTATGAAAACTTGAGAATTCATATTATAAAGATATTTGCTAACGAAAATGTTAATGTTTCTCATAATTTCTAAAACATCCAATCCTTGCTCTAAAGTTTGTATTGGTAAATTATCATCGATAGTGTCTAATCCATATTGTAAATATGCCAAACGTCTCATCTCACCATACGTTTTCCAATTATGCAAAACCACAGATGTTAAATTATAAAATATGGTACTTAAATGATGCTCAACGTTATTTTTAATGTTTTTATACCCTCCATGCAACGCTATCGGTAGGTATTTGTTAAAATGTATAGCAAAATAATTTTCAAACGGATCCATAGGAGGTAATTCTAAATGCAAGTGAGTTTGTAATCTCAAATTTCGTTCTATTATCTGTTCCAATGGATTATAAAAGTTTTCTTCGATAACCTTATCAGTTAACTCACTTGAAAAATCGTTTAAACTGTTTATGATCAAATAATGTCTAGATAAGTCAGTTCTGGAAGCCAACATTTTTGAAAAATATACAGGCAACATATAATTTTGATGCCAATACATGAAGAAACAACTGCTGGTATCTTTTAAACTGTTAGAAAAGCCTACTATAGTTTCTAATTTCGATAAAACCTGCCTCATTTTTTGTACTTCGTTTGAATTTAAACCACTAGCTGATAGTGCTAAATTGGCTATTAGAATGCTTTTTAACGTAGGGGCAGATTTCAGTGCCTGTTCACACAAATTTAAAGAAGATAAAACATCGAGTTGACGCTCATTATAAGATTTTTCTTGAGTAAATTGTTTTTTTATGTTATTCAGTAATGATAAAGCTTTGTAACATAAATGCTGGGTCGTTAGCAGAATTATATAAGTTAAAGCAACTATATTCTTTTTAAAAATCAATGGAATGCATTTTAAAATTTCGATTAACCTGCATATTGAGAGTAAAACTGATTTTTGAAGAGGTAGATTTTTTTCGGCGTGTATGTTTAGCATCCACTGGACTGAAAAACGAATTTTTTTCAACAGTTTTAAGCCATTGTCTAATGAGGCTACTATGGCTTGCAGTTCCCTGAGCTTAATATTGTTGGTATCTAATTTCGAAAAGTGTTCTAATTCTATTAAAAAATAGCATACTTGAAGACAAAGACTGTTACATTCTTTAGGAAAGTTTGAGTTTTTAACACTAACTAAATTTAGCCTATGATTTTCTATTGCTCTTTCATCAATGTATTTTTCCAAACTATTTAAATGTTTTAGTAAAAATTGCTCGGGATACCACAAAATGTTTCCAATAAGGGTACAAGTTGAATTTTTCTTATTAACATCTAATACATGTTTAATTAATTTCTTATCGGTACTTTCAAATATGGTAAAGTAAAAAATTATAAAAATATTCATTTTCCACCAATTTTCAGGACATGCCTCTTCTTCTTTTTCTAATTCAGTGAGTAAATTTATTATAAACGAATGAATCTCTTGATTTATAGTACAATTTTTCATTTGATAATAAAATGTTTTATCTTCGAAACATTTTTCTATGACTCCTTTTAGAATTTGGCCTGTTAGTAGATCATTTTCAAAATGTTGCAACATTTTATCCAAAGATCTAATCCTGTTTCTATCAACACCTAACTTATTAGAATGCGATTGATTTCGAATGTATTTCCTGTACCAAAACCAATGATCTTTTAACACCTGATTTTCCAACAAATTATCAAATTTTAACAAACATATTAAAACGTCGCCTATTTTATGTAAAACTTCTGGGAAAGCTGAATGGTTACCTGAAGAATATATATTTTTTCCTAATAAACAACATATTTGTTTTAAAGATAGAACTACAACAGAATGTACTCTTTTCACAAATAAGTGAATGCATTGCAAAGGTTCTAAGATCTTACTAATGGATTTATGCTGTGATGATTTATCAATGGAATCTTCATACAAAACAAAACTGGGATATAACTTTTCAGCTTCGATAACGAGCATGCCTATTTCTTGGCACATACCACCTACAACAAATAAAAACTAATTGTTTAACAAATTTAATTCAAAGAATGGTTAGGTACCTAGTGTAGCTAATATTCTACTTAAAATCTTGTTATCTGAATGAACTAAATGACCTATGGATTCATTGTTATGAGCTTGTTCTTCTATGGAAATTAACTGAGCTGTTATATTGTAATTATTCGAAAATTTCCTTTTTTGAGATGCAGTTTGTTCTACAAAGTTTTCCAGAAATGAGCCAAATTCGTGCAATTGTGCTTCGCCTATCAGTCTGTTCGTTTCAGCGTTAAATTTTTTTTCTGCTAAATTCGATGGTTCCCACATTATTAATGGATATTACCTAAAAATGCTCGTTAAACAATTTATTAACAGAAACAATAATTAAATACTCACTGTATCAACTTGAAAAATAATTCATAATATTATAAGTTTGTTTGGAATTCGAATATTTTTGAACAAAAATAATAACTTAACAGTAGCTACGCCTACGACACACGGTTCGTTAATTTAATGATACAAACTGTATCTAAAACTGATTAACTAATAGATTTTCAATTTCTTTAATGACTAATAAATAATATCCAATATATATTGATTATCATAATAATATAGGCTATGTGTCCTTGGTCGAAAATTAATATAATTTAATCAAATAAAGATACGTGTATCTAATCAGTAAGCATGGCGCATTATCATCTGTCTAATTTTATTGAAGAAATTTGGCCTTTTACTAAACCCATATACAGCCATAATAAAATAAAGATGTACATACAGGGTGGGTCATTGGTAAATCAAGACTGATTTTTTTTTTAATCTGTTTTCACAGCGAGATGATCAATAATAATAAAAAAATTCAATTATACAGGGTTCTCCAGGAAAGTGATATATATTAAAATTGGGATTTTTTAAAATGGATTATTTTGTATTTTATTTTATATTTGAATTACTCTCGCTTTTCCTATTATAACAGTACTAAAATAGTATGGAAAATTATACAAGGTATTTCACACGCTACAAAACCAGTTTTATATGAAAATCGTATTGATTGTATATTTCAAAAGAAACAATTGAAAACCAATTTTTACTTTCTTATCGACCTCGAGTTTTCGACGGATTTTTACGTTTTGGAGTCACCTGAATTCGTTTTGACTATTTTCGCGATGAAGTCTGTGTGTGTATTCTCGATAAATCATGAACGGATACAAAGAAAAACAACAAATTTTAAACTTAAGCTTTTTTCCGGTCTCCAGTGAATTGATAAGGGGGTACTTTATAGGTGGTCATTTTTATATTTTATGGAATATATCTGTTATTTACGCTTGGAGAATTCTTCAAATGAGTCGAGAATTTCCATTTATTGCTGAAGAGTCCTAATAAGGATGACTTTCTCCTTAGTGGGCAAAATCAAAGGCAGAGTGTTGAAAATATTTTTTCTCTCCTATTTTCTTTCGACGTTATTCAATAATCATTGGTTACTTATGAACCTCTACTAAAGATACCCATAAAATATTTTGCTAAATATCCGAATATATCTTCTATATCCTGGGATATAGACAGACATTTGGTTGGATATCTATATTGGATATATTTAATATCCACAAAATGTGGATATCTCTGGGATTTCTTGTATTTTCTGGAAGATACCATTAGATATTTTGCTGGATATCCATTAGGATATATCTTCTATATTCTGGATATAGACGGACATTTGAATATCCATATTAGATCCACGGAATATTTCTGATATCCTGTGGATATATTGGATATCCACAAAAAATATTCTGTGGATATCTCTGGGATTTGGTGTGTTGTCTGGGTATTGTGACTAGTTTACAATAAATACAGTTCATCAAATTTCTAGAGGCTTTCGACGGCTAGACAGAGAAAGCACTACTGACAGGCATCCCGACGGATTTACGCAATGAAAGTACACTCTGCGCATCAAGTATTTCACTATTTCATTCAGACGTAAATTTCGCTAAAACATTTCTTTTATTTTCGTTTGTGTTTTTTGCTCATTACAGTTTAATAGAACCTAAGTATGGAGTTTAATAGCAAATTAAGAGGCCGCGTGATTAACAGTCAATCTCGCGAAATAATAGCCAATGTTATAGAGTTTATGAGAAGAGAAGGAAACTTTAATTCACCTTCAATACCATTTAAAAATGTAAATGATCGTGTTGCTGCAGCCACAGGAGTATCTAAAAACACTGTCGTCCGCATTTCTGGAGAGAAAAAAAGAATCGATAACCGTGAGATATCGGAATTTTCATCACCAAGAAAAACCATTAAAAAACCAAAAACAGTTAATGATATAGATGAAGCTGCACAAGAATCAAATTTTATTTTTTTATTATTAGATAGCTATTTTTGTTTCTGAGTTGTGTTAATTTACAGGCTCAATTTTTTTCCGTTTCTCCTTTTTGATTTTATATGGGGTTTCAAGTTGTTTTTGACTTATTTCGACGTAAATCACAACAACACACTTTTTTAATAAAGCAAACAAGTGTTAAGAGGTATATGTACGTGTAAACTACAATTACAAAAAATTGATATGAAACCCATGAAACCACCAACAAAAATGTAAAGCTAGCTTCCGTACTAGAACATGGTGTCATTCGTCGAGATAATTTATCGTTTTATTTAATAGATCAAGAAATGTAAATATTCCCCTGTTATTTTTTATAAAATTATAAGAGAAATACATTTTTTTCTAAATAGTATAGTTTATTATTTTGTAGAAAAACAAAATTTCGAAAATTTTAGTAATGTTTCAGAAACAACCGTTATTAATAATAGGTACCATTTTCCTTAATAAGGTAGAAATAAAATATAAACTATTTCCACAATTTACAAAGATCTACAAAAAAATTATAGGTATTTTCCGCTATCCTATAAAATTTATATTTTCTGACTCAATTTCAAAAGGTTGAAGGAATTCCAAAACACCTTTTATGGCATAATTATTTTCAATTCTACATACTATCTTTAGCTGCTTTTAAAAACGTTCTAAGAAAGTCCAATCAGACCAATTTAATCCCTAAACTATTCCACACTTTTAAAATTTAATTACCTAAAAATATTAAAAACTATTTAATATAACTTGTTTAGCAGACTGTACAATAGCTATCTTAGTCACACGTAGCGCGTTCTCTGTCTGGGCGTCGAACACCTCTAGAAATTTGATGAACTGTATATTTAGACATGAATACATTATTTTACTTACATTAGAAGACATAAAAAAGACATTTAAGTAATTGATTTCTTCTTGTGTTTTCTTTAGTTTTACATTTGATATTTATCCTGTTTTACAATCTGGAACGACGTAAATCTTGCTTTGATGTTTTTTTGTCACTCATGTTACTTGTACTCAGGTAATTTTTTTCACATTATTTTGATTCTTTTCACCAATTTTTTAAAAAAATCACTTCATTTTACATTGACTTACATAGAAAATTGACACCGCTGTTATTCAACATGCCAACTACAGTCAATTTCGCGAACTTTTTAAAGAGAAGGACGGAAATTTGACCATTGCCGATTTGCCTCCTTTTCTCTAGTCTTTATATTCTGAAGTTTGGCGCATTCTTTACTGAACACCCTGTATAAGAGCAAGTTTTGTTTCACGGATGTTTAATATTTAGTGGATTTCGCTGTTTCCACTTCACATTCTTTGTATTCCTAATATTTGTTTCAAAAAGTCAGAAATGTATTTTAATTTTAGGATAATAGAAGAATATCACCATTAAGAGCTTGGCTGTGCACTCACGCCCTTTCCAGTTTGGAGAAATTTCAACAGCTAGAAGTGACGGATTACACTAAACCTTTGGTATTTCAAGCTGAAACACCCCTCAGAAAATTCGTAGCTTACATAGATCCTGATAACAAGTTTAACTTAGAGGATAAACTTTCGCAAATTAACACTCTACAACAGTTACAAAACATTGCGAGTTACGGCTTTTTGAAAAAAAGATTGGAAAAGCACGAATTACACATACACGCTCTTTGGTTCGATATTTATACAGGGGAAATTTATTATTTTAGTAGAGGCGCCAAAAGATTCGTTTTAGTCGAAGAAGATAGTTTTGAAAAGTTGTTACAAGAAGTGAAGAAATATTATTCATAGAAAAATTGTAGTTATAATCAACAGCTGAAAAAAGTTCCTACTTTTTTGTGTTACCAGTACAATGTTATTGATGGACTTCACATTAACAAATACACGTGGAGAAAATTAAAAAAGTTTTAATGTTAAAGACAATATATAACATGACAATTTTACTATAACTATATGTATTTTTTATTTATTATAATATTTTATGTACAAACAAATTCTATTTTATTAAATAAAAACAGATTGAGTAACCAATGACTTCATGAATTTTTGCGTGTCAACACCATTTTCGCTTATATTGTGTTTTTTGAAAAACGAATTCAACTCCGAAGATGCTTCTTTTAAATAATCTACATTAAGAGCATTATTTGTACAAATAAATATTTCATTTAGGTCTTCTTGTAATTTGTAGCTAAATATTGACTGGAAACGGTCTTTTAAACCATTTAATACAACTGGCCTGAGCGAGTTGTCCCTCAGAACGACATTCAATATGAATATGCCTAAAAAAATAAATATCCTAAAGTTGATTATCCAATTAATTACTATACAGGATGATTCATTGAGAATGACAAACTCTGAACTACAAATACTAAACACCAAAATATGAAGTTTTACCCCAACATGTCCTATAAAAATGTTGCTGGTTTAAGGGAAAATTTTATTTTAAAATGTCTCAATAACTTTATAATTTTTAACAGCATTAAATTTGGTAGTTTTAAGTTTTATGACACGAGAAATACGAATTTAAAAAAGAGTAGGTACATTTTTTACGGGCTTTCAGATTTTTAACTTATTTTAATCACTATTCACTGGATAAAGAAGATATGATATAATTTACTGAAGAAACAAGGTGCCACTAGCGCCCTCTTTGAGCAGTCACAAAATAAAATATAAATTCGTATTTCTCACGTCAGAAAACTTAAAACTACCAAATTTTATGTTCGTGCCGTTAAAACTTATAAAGTTATTGAGACATTTTAAAATAAAATTTTAGCTTTGAACACCCTATATATCTCCTAAAGGCATATTGGGCTAAATCTTCAAATTTTGGTGTTTACTATCTGTAGTTAAGAGATTGCCTATTCTAAATTAATAATCATGTATAGTATTGATATAAATTGTTACATACCAGTATTTCCGATGAGTTTAACAACACTGTCCAGAACTGTCTCTTCTAAAAACTGTTTTGGAGGACAACTCATACCAATAGAAGAGTCTTTACTGTCTACATCAAAAAGTACAGCCTCTAATGCACCTCCTAAAACAAGGTTTTAATGAATAGATACATAATAAATCACGAGATCAATTAAAAAAAAATACAATTGAAATTTTATATAAGATATGAGTAATTCCATGAATACAAGGATCATGTTGAAAGATTTTATACAATATGTTAACTTTTCAGTCCTGACTCCAGGAGAACGGTATAGAAACACAATGCTATTGAATAGAGAAAAATGCTTGCAATCGAAAGGGCTTGGTTAAACCAATTAATCTCTTTATCGCAAATATAATAAAGCGTCTCATCTTTATTTTGCCTGATTAACATGGTTAACATATTGTATACTTAAAAACTATACAAGTACGAACGGTCGACTTTTTGTCTTCACATGGCATTAAATAATTATCATCTTCTTTATTCGCCTAATTTGGCACCTTTGTAATCTTTTTTGTTCTATAAAGTCACATTGTATTGTTGTATAGGTCACTCAGCAATAGTTGTTATAAATGTTTTGTTTCAGCAGTTGGATTGAAAAAAATGTATGTGATAAGTCTCAAATAGTTATTGATTCTGGAGAATTTAATATTGACCTGTTGACTAAAAACATAGCACGAAATTAAAGAATATTTTGGTTGATAAGGGAGTAAAAAATATTGTAGCGAAATATACAAGAACAAATAGAAATGGTGGAAGTACACTAATAATAGACTTAGTTATAACAAATAACGATTCAGTCTCAGTTGAGGTTATCAAAACCACAGAGAAGAGAACAATACAGAAAAGAAACATAGGGCTAGTTCCACCACAGATATACTCTGAGAAAACGTAACTATTCACAGTACAACTAGCTGTGGTGTACTGTAAATAGTTACGTTTTCTCAGAGTATATCTGTAGTAGCCATATGTTTCTTTTCTGTATTGTTTCTCTCTTCTGTGTCAAAACACCAAGAATTTCAGATCAATTTATGCTTTTAATAATGTGCTAGAGGTAAGGACTTAAATTTTGATTTATTAAATAACAAATTTTCAACATTAGCATATAACTATTGTATTTATGACATTAATGCAAAATATGATAATTTTTTAACAAATATTTTAAACGTATTAGATTCGGTAGTTCCAAAAATAAAATTGTTTAATAATGTTTACTAATGTTTAATAATGATGTTTGATGTTTAATAATGTTTAATATTGTTTAATATTGTTTAATATTGTTTAATATTGTTTAATATTGTTTAATATTGTTTAATATTGTTTAATATTGTTTAATATTGTTTAATATTGTTTAATATTGTTTAATATTGTTTAATATTGTTTAATATTGTTTAATATTGTTTAATATTGTTTAATATTGTTTAATATTGTTTAATATTGTTTAATATTGTTTAATATTGTTTAATATTGTTTAATATTGTTTAATATTGTTTAATATTGTTTAATATTGTTTAAAATTGTTTAATATTGTTTAATATTGTTTAATATTGTTTAATATTGTTTAATATTGTTTAATATTGTTTAATATTGTTTAATATTGTTTAATATTGTTTAATATTGTTTAATATTGTTTAATATTGTTTAATATTGTTTAATATTGTTTAATATTGTTTAATATTGTTTAATATTGTTTAATATTGTTTAATATTGTTTAATATTGTTTAACTGCAGTGGTTTAATATTGTTTAATATTGTTTTATATTGTTTAATATTGTTTAATATTGTTTAATATTATTTAATATTGTTTAATATTGTTTAATATTGTTTAATATTGTTTAATATTGTTTAATATTGTTTAATATTGTTTAATATTGTTTAATATTGTTTAATATTGTTTAATATTGTTTAATATTGTTTAATATTGTTTAATATTGTTTAATATTGTTTAATATTGTTTAATATTGTTTAATATTGTTTAATATTGTTTAATATTGTTTAATATTTTTTAATATTGTTTAATATTGTTTAATATTTTTTAATATTGTTTAATATTTTTTAATATTGTTTAATATTGTTTAATAACTTATAATAATGTATAATAATGTCTAACAATATTTGTTTAATAATGTTTAATACTGTCTAATAATGTTTAATATTTAACTGCAGTGGTAAAAACAGATTGTTTAAAATAATTAGGAATTTATTTACTGAAATAAAGTTAAATAATGTTTATTAATGCTTAATAATGTTTAATAATTATTAAAAATAATTAATCTTTACATGAATGCAACCTAATACAAATTCAGGACATAATTAAACAATGATTTATGTACAGGGTGTTATTTAAATAATTAATTTAGATGTGTTACAATATGAATTTCTATAAAACATGACAATATGTATGACACAATATGTAGGTATCTACAAAAATATCTTACCCTTTTCAGCAAGCTGCTTCAACCACACGACACCATCCTCAATTTTAGCTTTAAGCTTGTCATTTTCCTTAAAATCGAACCATTCTGTGGCAATTTTTAACATATCTTCATCAATATCAATCCCGAAAATGTTAATTTTCGGCAGAAATTTATGTAAAAACGAACAAAGTCCACCTCCACCCAATCCTATGACCGCTACATTGGCTTTGTTGTTTTCCCTACAAGCCGCGCGCGTCGCCAAGGCCATATAAACGTGGTGCCTGCATGTTAAATAAATCAGATCCACTACTTCTTTTACGGCCCCTTTTCTCGTTTTGATGGATCTCAGTTTGGCTTCGGATTGTATTACCAACTGAGAGCTGAGATAGAATAATCTACGATATTTTTCTTGGTTTTCAGTGACCACATCTTCTATTATATACTCCCCTGATAACTTAGAGCACCCTTTGTACCTTACTATTCGGTGGCCTACGTCAGATCCTAGAGACAAGAATGCTATCTGAAAATGTGATACGTACATTAAATTAACACCATGTTGATAAAGGTTATTTTGTTTTAATTATATAACTATTTATCTATTTTCAATAGAGGCAGAGTAGGATTTTAAAATGAACAAAGTACAAATTATAGAACTGGTTTTTTAAAATATTATTTCCTATATATTATAAAAAAAAAACTTTTAGGAATATATTTTGATTCAATTTTAAATTTCAAATGCTTATAATTTTCATTACAATGAATTCGGTACCCTATGAGATATGAGAAACAGTAAGATATTCTGAAAATAAAGTATTCTACAGCAAAAATCAGAGGATTCTAAGCATGTAATATTAAATTTTAAAAGGAACAAAATACTGCTATAATTTATTTGGTTTACAATAGGCGATTCATTATTAGAATCTAGTTTTTCATTATACTGATTATTTAAAAATATACCTTTCTATTTTTCAACTGAGCTGGTGCTAGATTACAAACGACATTTGACAACTCTGTTTGAACAGCCTCAAAAGATTCATATTTTTGATCTCTGTGAAGTGTAACAATAGCTAACCTATTATATTTGGTTATTTCTACCAATTTTTTCCTTCCGTTTGCTGTAGAAAATAACCATTCTGCTTCTCTGAAATATATTTTTTTAAGTTTTTGAAAAGTCTTTTGACTCTAATATTTACCTTCCTTCTGGTACAATAAATGCTGCATACTGAGAATGGCTAGATTGTGGAGGGATATCGACTACATAAACTGTAAAACGAGATTGTGTGGATCCTTGCTCATATAATTCTAATACAACTTCACTTTCATCAGCTATGGAAGTCTTTTTTAAACCTGAGCATATAAAGGAAACATTCTGGGTACTTAAAATCTGAGATATAACTTCAGACTCAGTATTGCACCTTTGCATTTTATCTAATGATCCTAAATTTAATTCTAAAACCTAGAATTTAAATTTTTTAGATTCATTTTGATATAAAATATATGTAAAACCGAGTGTAAAACTTACTTTTTGTGATATTTTAAATTTTGTACAAATAATTATAAACACTGGTAATGAGTTTTCATTATTTTCACTAGCTTTCATTTCTGCTTCGAAACATCTAACTATCCTAAACATAAAATTATTAGAAGGAAAGTATTCTAAAATGTACTTCAAAATATGTTCTTGTAATAATGATATGCAAATATATCTTCCTCCAACTTTAAGAACTCTTTTTATTTCCTCAAAGTACTTGTGAATTTTCCCTAAAGTTTCTGCAGAGTCGTCTGGCATTAATGCATCAAGTGTGCCTTTATCTAAAACTACACTAAATTCTTCATTCTCAAAAGACATATTCAAAACATCCATTTGAATATATTTTAAATTTTGCCTCTCTTTTTCAGTTTGAGACAACATTTGTCTAATAACTACTTGAGAAATATCAACGTTAGTCACTTTGCTAAAACATAAGTATATTATTTCATATTCGATCAAGATGAAATTAAGCTATACCTACTTGTAACCTATGTCATATAAGTCTCTACCTACAGTAGAATTTCCACAGCCAGCAATAAGGATATTATCTTGTTTTTTAATATATTTATGCAAGTGTTCAGACAATTCTGGATATTCTCCATACCTAGAATATTAAATTTAGTTTTTTTTTGTTTTCAAATATTCTATTTCATACCATTCAAATGCTTTATTCCCTCTCTTGTTAAAAAATGCATCCCAATATTCTTTTTGACTAAATTGCTCTTTAGATTTTGGCAATAAATTCATATCTGCCAAGTTATTATGATGCGTATATGTTGTAATAATATATTTTTAAAAATAAAATTAGAGAAAGGTGATAGAAAAATGGAAAATATTTTCCGTGTATATTCCTAACCTCAAATAATAAATAATTATTACTTCTTTCTTCTTCTTTTTTTAAGGATGATCTTTGATCTCTTTTTAGGTCCGTATTTATAAACAGAACTCAGCTGAGTCGGACTTGGGTGACTCGTCCTTGAACGAAAATCGAAGTTCGGTTATATCCATAGATTACTAATGTGAAGTTATATCGTTGGGAATAAGTAGTTAACACTTACAGATTTGCTACTATCTATCTCTAAATTCCAATGTAACACGAGAACCACACTTTAGAGGAGTTGTAACCGAACTTCGATTTTCGATCAAGGACAACTCACAAAGCACATAGAGGTTCCACGTGAATGACCAAGGTCAAAACCGACAACTGACATTTTTTATGCTATTTGCTCCAAACTCTAGATGGGGCTACTGGTGAAATTATGATTTCTTACTCCATTTTTAAGCCTTATGGGAGAAAAACTTAACCAAAGACTCCAAAGATGTGACGTGTATTTATTTATGTTTTTGGTTAGTTTCATTTTTCCGTCTGATTTTAGTGATTTTTTGTTGGCTTTGGCTTTTGGTTTCTGTTTATAGTTTCGTCTTAGTTATAACCTACTGTGTTTTGCAATAATTTTGGTGCTACCTGTGGGTGCTACGTTGAAAACTTCGAGAAAAACTTCATTGATTCAACATGCATCTGCATCATAAAAAGAAACGGGTATAACAACTAATTGATAATCAATTTATCACTGGACTAGATTCCGAAATCATTTTTCACATAAGAGAGTAATACACAAAGCAGTGGAGTAATACCACCATCTGTATTTGGAAGGAAAATACCTATTTATCATTGAATGAATAGTTAAAAGGATTCACCTTTTAATACAATACCTATATTACATTTGTCCTCAGTTAAAAAGACATTTATAAAATATATAACTTTAGTGTTAATAAAATGTAATATCCTAGTCTCTACTTCACATTTACATTATTGATAGGTATTTTAAAGATTTGAGATTATATATCTATTTGCTCCAAGTAAGTATTCGTTAAATATGTATTATTATTTGTATTTATTTTTATCTAATAATATTTATTTAATTTATTAATAAACATATTTTAAGAATGTTCTATTTTATTATTTATTGATATATCTTATATTTATTTAATATAAATATGCAGAACAAACTCTCCACAATAGACCCCTTATAACAAATTAATTCTTCAAATTTGGTATAATCGACCTAAATTATTTTGTAAAATAAAAGTTTCGAACTTACTAGTTCCATTCTTTATTTTATAAAATAATTTATGAGGAAATAATTTAAAATTTAATTTAAAACTACTACCTACTCCTAAAAATTACAATTTGAATTTACCGCCATCTGTCAATTGTCATTTTAGTTCCAGCTCCAAACACAAGGTGGCGCCAATTTGGTTTAAAAGTTTAACATTGGCGTGGGGTCTCTAGAAGATACGTGCTTTGTGGGACAACTCACCCAAGTCCGACTCAGCTGAGTGCTGAGTTCTGTTGTTCTGTTTATAAATACGAGCCTTTGGGTCCTATGATTGAACGTTTATGTTATCCGTAACGTACATGTTAGGCCGAATTTTAAAAGTAACGAGGCAAGTTCGTATGATGGAAACCTGTTAAATTAGAACATAACAGGCGGAAAATAACAGTAATGTGTTATGAAAGACTTTACATCATACGAATTTGTCTTTATGCTGTTAAAACTCGGCCTAACATGTACGTTACGGATAACGTAAACGTTCAATCATACCACCCATTATATCTCGATGAACTCTAGAGATTCTAGAAAAGTTATTGCCAAACTTCGATTCAGCCAAGTCCAACTCAGCTGAGATCGAGATCGGTTTATAAATACTGACCTTTGAGCGATAAATTACAAAACAAAATATATTTTAAATAGCGCAAATATGACCTTATAAGAGTCTATAAATGGCTAAATTTTCTCATAATAAAAGGACACGCATTAATCACATTTGACATTTTTGTTGAGTGTTGTGTTGACGTTTATGTCAGTGATGTGTCAGTTGCATGTCAGTCGAGTGTTTTGTTTTGTGGTTTATGCAATGATGTATAATTTCTGATTTAAAGGACTTTATGGTAATACAAAATAAATGCAAAAATTTGATCAAAAATTACAGATTATGTGACATGAATTTCTATAAAATCATCACATAATGACAAAGAGCCAACTGTCTTTTAGGCTTCGACAAAATGCGCCACAGCAAACACGCCGGGAATCCCGTGAAAAAAGTCACAAGAAAGCACAAAAACCTCAAGTAACGTAAGTAAGGAAAGTTAGGTTAAATATTTTACCTACAGAAGATTACCTTTTATTTTTTAGAAAAGTTGAAAGTACCAGCCCAGGTTTGATATTCCCAGCAGGAGATACAGCTTTTAAATCTTTATTATCAGCACGGTTTTGCGCTGCAATATGGTCACACATATCAGATTGTGATGAGACTTTTAATTATTGGGAACCTATGCATTACTTGAGTAAATATATTTATATGCTAATTGTATTCTCTTAAAAAACGTGAACAATTTAAAACCTTTATTACAGTTTATGCTTAGTTAAATATCAAAATATATTTAGATACCTATTTAAATTACAAATGGTATGTTAGAATATCCACATCTGCTACATTATTTACCTCTTAGCGTTTGTTTATAAACATCGGACACATCTGCTGCAACTACATTTGCATATCTTTAATCATATGCTCAAAGATTTACAACATCTTGTATGTATCGGGTGTGGATAAATAAACAGCTTATAGTAAAAAATATTTAAAATCCTTAATTGTTACTTAGTAAATATTTTTTATTTAATTGTAATCACAAAATTTTCATGCAGCAATTTTTTTGTTTTTAGTTTTTGGCAAAGGTTTACAAACTTGGGAATATAGCCCTGAATTTGGTTTAAGATCCTACTTTTATTTGATGGTTCACGCTGCACCTGCATGGATTTATCAAAAACTATTGCAACCAAATCCTCTGCTTATGTTTTATTTCATAAGGTGTATTTTAGGTCTTATTTGTGCTATATCCGAGGTCTACTTTTATAAGTAAGAATTTATTTTATTTGGCTATAGGAAAATCTTGTAGTTTAATGTCCACTCCACTCTGCACTGACATTCAAATTTTACATTGGCCAGGTTGCTATAATATGTCTATTATTGTTTTGCCGTTGGTTTTTTATCTTTTAATTTTGAGGGCAATGAAAAAAAAAACAAAATAATTAAAAATTGAAGGATATTTTTATTAATTTCTAAAAAATCACTTATGATTCAAATTTTCTTTTTCCTAGATTTGATATATTATTATTATTTCCTTTATTTAGCTAGTTTGTTAATATCACAATATACAAATTTAGTAAAAATATACATATAAGTCAAAACATAGATAATTTAGATACAATTAAAACTAACTAAAATTCTATAGGTTGTTACTGTTTCTGGAGAAATATTCTTCAATTAAGAAATCTGTCACTTTGACTTTAATTGTAGTTACATACGTTACTGATTTAATTTTCTCTGGAAGTGTGTTATATTGATTTAGACCTTTAAAAAATAGTGAATTTTGTGTTGCACTCTTAACAACTGTTTCAATATAAAAGTTATTTCTGTTCTGCATTGGATAATTGTGCACATTAGAGTGATAATTAAGCTTCTCTTTTAGGTACATTGGAAGTAACCCATGTTTGATTTTGTAAATAAAAATTAAGGCATTCCGTAATAAGAGACTTTTGATTGGCATTCACCTCAAAGTTTCAAGCATTAGATTAATGGAAGTATATTTTGAACAGGATAATATTATTCATATAGCCCTATTCTGCAGCTTCTGTATTCAGTTCAACTCATTTTGATTTAGTAAAAAGAGTATTGTAGAGCAATAATTAAAGTGAGGTAGAATTATAGTATTATATATTATAATACATTTAGTCCACTGTGATAAGCCAAATGAATTTCTAAATAGAAAATTTAACTTAAATGCAATAGTTTTGATAACATAACAGTGTTGACATGATCTATGAATCTAATCTACTTATCAATCATTACCCCTAAGTGTTTGAATTTTTCTACTAACTGTATAGAATTTCCTCCAATTGTTATGTTATATTGTTTATCAAAAAACTGTGTATAGTTATAGTTGCTACTTATCAGCATACATTTTGTTTTATTTGTGTTAATTTTCAACAAGTTATTGCAACACCATTTATAACCATGTTGCAATGTTTCGTTTACAACTCTTACCAAGTTATCTGAATCCTTACAAGAAAGATATATTAGAGCATCATTAGCAAACAGGTGAATATCACATTGACCCTTGAAATCAATAATGTCAATGATATATACTAAAAACAACAGGGAACCCAATATACTTCCCTGCGGAACACTTCTGATATAGTTAATTTCCTCTGACAAAATGTTATTTACTTTTAACTTTTGTTTCGTCTTACTTAGATAATCCACACGCCACTCCAATGCTTGTTCTACTATACCCATACTTTTCATTTTTTTTTATTAAATAGTTTTGATCAACAGTCTCGAATGGCCTTTGAAGATCTGTAAAAACTGCCAATGTTAGATAGTTTTTATCAAATTTATATTTCCAATCATATAAAACACACTGGATAGCTGATTCACAGTTATGTTTGCTTCTGAAGCCCGATTGTATTCTAGTAATAAGTTTATTTTGTTCTAAAAAGTTAACAATTTGTTCATAAACGACCTTCTCAATGATTTTTTCGATACAATTCAACATATTATTAGGCCTTAAATCTGTAGCTTTATTTGCGTTTTTTGTCTTTGGAATAGGCACTGCCATAGCAATTTTTAGAGCATTAGGTATTTTTAAAATTTCTAATGACGAATTTATCAAATTTAAAAGTGGTTCTTAGAGGTTGGGAAAACAGTTTTTTAAAATATTAATGTTAATGTCATATGTGCTACTTTTATTTTTCATTGCGAAAAGAATGTCTCTTAAAGAATCCACCGTACATAGTTGGAATTTTCCAAGAAAATGTCCATTGTGTCTGACTTAAATTTGATAATTTGGTATTGTATGATCAGTACTAGCAATCGATTGGATACTGTCTATGTAAAATTTATTAAGAGCATTTGGCATGTCAAAAATATTTTTTATAACATTACTTTCTAGTTCAAGTTCAATTAAGTTATTCGACTCATTATTTTTTGGAATCAGACATTCAAGATATTTCCACATTTCCTTTGAACTTACCCTACTTTCGTAAATATTTTTCACTGTGTTTGCTTTTTTCTGTTCTAATTATGTTAACGGTCCTATTTCTATGCATTTTGTATTCATTCCAATTATTTTCTGTTTTTTCTTGTGAATAATTTTTATATGCAAGGTCTCTATACCTTGTGGCAGCTTTTATATTTTCATTCCACCGTTTTTTGTATTTAGGAAATATTTTTATTTGTTTTTTTGGCGCTACAGAATCTAATACGTTTAAAATATTTGTTGCAAAATTATCATATTTTGCATTGTCATAAATATGATAGTATTATGCTAATGTTGAAAGTTTGTTATTAATTAAATCAAAATTTAAGTCCTTATCTCCGTTTTCAATTTCAAAAACAGATCGCCCATCACTATTTAATAGCACATTTGTTAAAAGCATAAAATTATCTGAAATTCTTGGTATTTTGATAACTTCAGCTGAAACCGAGTCATTATTTGTTATAACTAAATCTATTAGTGTACCCCCACCCATGGGCGTCGTTACAAAAATCTATAGGGGGTGGGGGGGGCAAAATTTTTAAAAAATTAGAATGTTTATTAGTTGAAAAACAGAGAAATTGAAAACTAAAAGAGCAATACAAATTAACAAACGTTTTTAATAAATAAAATAACCCAACAAAAAAGACAAAACCTAAAATAAAAAAAAACAAGAAACTTAAAACACATATTTCTAAAAAACAAATAGAAGGTGTGAGATAAAAGAAAAATATCAACAAGGAGACAGAGCCATACATAATATATAAAAAAAATAAAATATTTATAGAAACACAAAAACAAAAAAAACTCACTCAAACTCGTCGACGCTAGTGTTCGTCAATTTTTAATTTCTTCTTCCTTTACCTAAAATAATCGATAACAGAAAACATGATTTCTTTTTAGTTTTTTGCGATTATTTTTGGATGTACGTTCATCATGCAAAGCGCAGGCAGCCTATTTTCATTCATTATTCGCTCTGTGCGTGACAGCAGCGCCAACTAATTTATGAACTAACGGACGATATTTGCGTATACTGACAATACAATTTTTAATGGCATTAAACAATATATATGTTGATTTTAATAAAAGTATATAGATTTGGAAAACAAGTGAAAAAATTAATTATTATATATTTTTATTAGGTACTTCAGCTAAAATAAAAGTAGTATAATCAATAATAAAACAGGCAGGCTACGGTGGTGTAGGTGTCTACGGCGCGGCATTCATTTGTCAGCCAATTTTCTGGTAAAACGAGACACGGTTTCAGATCATACGGAAGACCATGTGAATTTATTTGCATGGTTCTCTATAGGATTTGATGGATGCCATATTAGCAGAAATTTAATTTCTGTTGATATGACATCCAGATTATTAAAATAAAATAACCATGATTTACCGTTTTCGATGATGGTAGGTGGGGTTTTCCGGGTTTTCCTCACCTGTAAGTCAAATGTCACCATTAATCATCTTTAAGTCGTCCCGGAGCGCCACGACAAATAATAATAATATCCGTCCCTTTCCCCGCACAAGCTCAGCTTTTGGAGTTAAAATTCACTCATAAGGGGGTGAATTAGGGAGTGAATTATTATTATAAGATTATATATTTACGAGAAAATGTATATGTTGCCTAAGCCTAATAAGTTAACATTGAAGAAAAGGTTAAATAATGTGAAAACAAAAACATTACCATTATATAATAACGTAGTCTCAAAACGTATTAACAAAAATAATTGGTAAATTTGCGTCTGTAATTCATATTTTCTTTATTTTTAGTTCGAAAGAACCCATAGAAATTAATGAATAAAATTGGTTTCCTATCAATAAGTCACAAGATTGAATTTCAGCCACATACAATAATCAAAGGCAGAAATCTAATCCTTGCTCAACATTTAAGAGTTAAGGGATGTTGAACAACATTGTAAAATAATAATTTCTTGTTTATTTAAAACCTTTCAATTTTCTGATGTCTACTATTTCCAGTATTATTTTTATTATTACAAAAATAAAGGTTTTTTCTTCTTATTGTACAGCTATCCATTTATTTCTTTGATTTAATTTCCATTTTGCTACTAAAAATTTATATAATTTACACTGTTTTTTACAATTTACAACACAGCAACTGTTATTGCTTTATCGCCTTGGACAAATTTCGCTTGTGTTTGATTTTGTAGGTTTCTTCGTGGTTTTTAGTAGCATTGCTGCATTTAGTTATTGTCAAGTTAATTAGTGTCAAAGTCATAATAAATACATCTTAATTTTCTTCTCTCATTTACAAAGAATATTTAATTTCTGTGCTATTTTCACGTAATAATACGTCAATGCGCGTGCGCCCATACTTAATTTAGTACTAAAAATTGGTATCGTTCCAAAAGGAAAAAAATATTTTTAGTTCTAAATTTAGTACTAAATAAATAACTTGATATTTAGGGCTAAATTTTAGTACTTAATTTAGTATTGTGACATACAGCCATTACGATAGTCGTAAAAGCCAGGGGGGACAACTGCCCCCCCTTGCCCCTCCCAAACGACGCCCATGTCCCCACCACTTCTATTTGGTCTTGTGCATTCCCTAACAATATTTTTTAATCCAGTATCAATCAAAATATCACTTAATTTCGCACTGTAAGTGTTTTTAGTCAACAGGTCAATATTAAAATCTCCAGAAACAATAACTATTTGAGAATTATCACATAAATTTTCTTCAGCCCAAGTGCTAAAACAATCTAAAAAATTTATACAGCTACTGCTAGGTGACCTATATAAAGATACAATTAAAACAAAAAATTGTTTCCTAATATTACCATCACAAAAACAATCCAACAAATTTTTGGAATACAAAATTTAAAATATTTTAAGACCTTCAGTTCACTTTGTACATAAATTAAAGCACCCCCTGTGTGTCTACTTTCACTGTCAACTCTATAATTTTTATATCCGTCAATGTCTATTTCTGAATCATAAATATCCTCAGTCAAGCAAGTTTCGGAAACACATACTAAACTTGGTTTTTTTGACAACACATAATTAGATATTTCATCAATATGGGTCACCAAGCTCTCAGCATTTAAATATAACATATTTATTGTACTTTTTAATTTGGATCTTGAGTTTGAGACTTTGTGGGAAAATCCTTATTAACTGTGGGTGTGATAGATACGCTATCAAAAGGAGGAACAGTTAAATTATTTAAACCTGTCAAATCTATGGAACCCAAGTTACTATTATCAAAAGGAAGAAGAGTTCAATTATTTAAATCTGTCAAATCTATAGAGCCCAAGTTACTATTATTAATAGGAAGAACAGTAAAATTATTTAAACCTGTCAAATCTATAGATCCCAATTTAGTAGACATGTTACAGTTTGTATTTTTAGATTTCACTGTGTCAATAAATTTTAAATTTTTCCAGACATGTTTGCTATTACTTATTGTTACACTAATTTTTCGTATGATATCGGACAGTTTTAGTTTGGCACCTTGCTCAGAATTGATATTTACATATAACATTCTACCTTCTGTATAATTGTCCAACTTATCCAGAAAATGGTCTAATTTCAAATTAAATTTCTTGATTAGGTTTTTGTCCAGATACCATTATAAAGTTAGTGTGGGTACATAGTTTCAGTTTCGAACAAATATTTCTAAATTTAGGGACCCTGGACATGTCAAAATCATTAGCACCTGCTACCACAATCACAAAATCAGATAATGAAAATGTTTTTACTAATTCAGCTACATTCTCCAGTACATTGTCAAAATTCCCTCCTGGTTTAATAATAGATTGAATGTTGAAACTTTTGAATCCAGGAGACCGTCGCATTTATTTAAGTTAATAGCAGCTTCGTCGCCTAATATTAATATGTTTTTCGAAGAAGTACTTTGCACTTCCCGTTTATTTAATACATTTTTTGAAAGGCTTTTTCCTGGCTCTAAGTCAAACACACTTGTGGTCATTTGGTTTTATCGATATCAAAGTGTCGATTTCAGATCTATCAACTCGTTTTCGTAGGTTTCTTTATCCTTTTCTTTTATTAATGTATAACCCTGGCAATTTTGTAACGAATTGGAGCAGCAATGGTGTGGACATGTGCATTACAATGACACTAAACTACAAGATTACCGACTAAAGTTTTATATTGTAATTTTTCGTCAAATAGTTATTTATTATATTTCTAAATTTAGGTCAGTATGTAGGGAGTTTGGTGTCCACATCGGAAGAATATGTCTGGCATTCCAACTATTTTCTGCTGGCATGTTTATTTCTAGTACTGCCTTTTTGCCATCGAGTTTTGCAATGTATACCACAGCAGCCGCTTGTGCTGCTTGGTGGCAACAAAAATTTGCGTTGGCAATTTTTTTTACTGCACTTGGTTCAATTTTAGGTAAGTCATTTATAATTGCTAGTATTTTTTCCCATTCAAAGCTGTTTATTAGTACAATACAAAAACCTATTAAACAATAAAATAGCTTTGCACGAAAACCTGATAAAACATAATTAATAATAATATAATATAAATGGTCTTTATTAATAAACTGTACAAAGAGGCGCAGTTTAGCTACAAGCTATTCTTACACTTAACCTAAAAGTACAATATAAAAAGAAGCATAATGTTTATAATAAAATAATAAAGAAAATTAGATTTCAACTGATTTTATTATTATTATTTTTTGTTTTTTTCTTCTTCAATTGCTAAGGTTATCTCGCCTCTTGTTCTGTGTAGGCTTTGTTACTGTTTCCCAGCGCCACTTTAGGAACAGCACTGTTAATTAGAACCCAACAGTGAATGGTCGAAAATTTCATAATAATAATAATAATAAAGTTGAGAATATAAAATTAGATATGAAATAAAAATTAAAAAAAATAGAAACAAAATATATTACAATGTATTAATTTAAAAATAGTTGAAAAGTAAAGTTTAAATAATTAAAAATTGAGTTGATTTTTTTTTATTTTTTTTTTTTTGGAAAATATGTTGTGGATGATGTATTTGCTTCATTAAGTATTCATTATAAATTTTAACAGATTGGTAGGTAAATGATTTCTGAAACATGGCTGAATTGTGATGAGGAATGTAAAAAAGATTTCCAGAGCGGACATTTAGAGGATGCAGTGCTGATCTCACAACTAACTTATCCAAAAGAGTTTTTGGTTTATTTCCTTTTCTGACGTTATAAAAGAAATTAATAAAATTATATTGATGTTTATTTTTCATTTTTAACCATTTAAGTTCATGCATTTTATGAGATACTTGATCATATTTTCGAAGTCCATAAATAAATCTAGCACAATAATTTTGTACTATTTTTATGCGGTTTTGTGTGCAAGAATCAATAAAATTTCCATAGATGACATCACCATATGAGAAAATCGACAAAACTAAGGACTCTGATAACATTTTTTTCACCTTATGGAATATAACTTTTTTACAGTTGAAAATGATTTTTTTAAAAGGTTGTTTACATGCGAGTGGAAATTGAGATCAGAGTCAAACAGAATGCCTAGATTCTTTATGAAATCCGCTATAGGTAAAGTTAGTTGATCCATTTTTATGAAAAGACTTTGACTAAGATAATTCCGTTGTTTTTGTTTCCAAATAAGATTAGATAACATTTATTTTTATTGAGCTTAGGATTATGTTTAATTGACAATTTATGAATAAGATCAAGATCTTCATTTAAGGCTTGTTCAGCGACTTGATAATTATTACTATCAATTATTTCGAGAACGTGACATCATGTCCGGGAACGTTCCCGAAATGACCGTTCCCGAAATGACGATTTCAAATAAATGCACGCTTTTTTTTGACGGCGCCCGTTGCATATTTTTATGTAAAAATAAAGCTTTTTTGAATTGCTCTTTTAAAATCTACTTATTTAATAAAAATACTTTACATAAGTAATGGAAATTATTTAATATCAATAAATTTATATGATTTGTTAAAGTTTGATTTTAAAGATTGTAAGTTAGGATGCGTTCTCGAAATGACTTTCTGTATACAGGGTGTTAGTAAATAAGTGCGACAAACTTCAGGGGGTGATTCAGCATGAAAAAATAATATAGAAGATAATTTATTTCTAAAGTGTATTGTACGATGTACAGTTAAAACAAATCAATTTTAATGTTCCATTATGTTCTTTCCTCAATAAAATTATGATTTTAGTAAATTATTTGCTACGCTAAATTTCTCACCTTGGTGATTTTGAGACAATAGATAAAAATTTTATAAAAAGTACTATTCTAGATAGCCTATTTTGCTCTTTAAAAAATTGTTGACAATTAAAACATCTTGGTATTTCTAAATCTTCATATACTGCGTACCTTTCCCAACCTAGACAAATTTTCTTCATGTTTATTATCTGATGAAATGCATTTGGCATGCATTCACAGATGATTGTTTTTTTTTTTTCGATAAAATTAACTTTTACCTCCCCACTAATTCCGTTTTGATCTTTTACAAAATCTTCTATTTCCTCATTGGTTAAATCCTGAGTTACATTAACGATTTTACTTTCAAAAGGAAATACTTGTATTTCGTGCAAAACTTTTTAATTAATAAATGCAAAGCGCTTTCTGCTTATTAGCCATAATCAGTGCTTATTGTCCACAATGTATCCAACAAGTTCCTGGTCATCCTCACTCCCAAAATTAGATATTTCGGGATATTTACAACTTGCTAAAACATATTATTAGTATTATTAATATTTTCAAATTTAAATTTCTTTATCTATTCATTTTTATTTTTATTCAAGTTGTTTAACCGTTTCCACATGACAGTGGACATAATACACCTGTATGATATTACTTAGGTTAATTGATAAATCATTAAAGTAAATAATAAAAAGTAAGGGTCCGAGAACAGAACCCTGTGGAACTCCATACAGTACTGAATTCTTGCCCGAAGTATGCCCATCAATTTGAACATATTGAGTTCTTTTTTGCAAATAAGAGGTAATAAGCTGTAATGGTGTCATTCTCCATATCTCTCTAATTTTAATAATAAAATGTCATGTTGAACCATATCGAACGCTCTCGTAAGATCATAAAATCAGGCAGTACTATGTGAACGATCCTTAAAACCATCCGTAACAGTTTCATAGAGATCACATATTGCATTAATTGTTGATTTGTTTGCCCTGTAACCGAATTCCTTTTGGCTTAGCAACTTGTTGCTTTCAAAAAAATTCATAATTCGTTGTTTTAACACTATTTCAAAAATGTTGCTTACTATTGGTATAATTGAGATAGGTCTGTAAGCAGATGGGAGATTCATGTCCCCTTTTTTAAAAACAGTTGTAAATCGTGGTACTTTAAATGTATCTGGAAAAACTCCAGATTTCATGCACAAATTAATTAGGTTAGCAATGGGAGTGTTTAAAATATCAACAACTGATTTCAACAAAACTGCACTCAATCCATATATATCCCTAGCTTTAGAATTTTTTAAATCTTTGATAATTTGATGGACTTCTGTTGTATCTGTGGGGTTCAAAAATATTGACATTTTTTTTTTTTTAATAAAGGTGTTAACATTAGTAGACTGCTTGCAATTTTCAACTAAATCGTGAATTACACTTTGAAAGAAATCTGCAAAATCATCGACAGACACATTGGTTTTAGAAGATTTATTTCTGCCTAAGTTGTTGTTAATTCATTGCCAAGCTGTTTTTTGTTTATTATCAGACTCAAATATTTTTTTATTGTTCAAAAGTACCGTTTTCTTATTAACAATATTACGGTATTCTTTTTTTAAAAACGATAATAATTCGAAGCTTTCCGGTGACTTCGTAGAATTGAATATTACTTGAGTAGCATCTAACTTTGACTTAATGTAACTTACATTTTGAGTGTTTGCTAAATTATTTTTACTTTTGATTACCTTCTTTTCAGGAAAACATTGTAGGTACAGTTTAGATAAAACGTCAATAATAATATTAGCTTGGTTGTTCTCATTAAATTTATTTAAATCTCAACTTAACTTTTTTAATTCAGATCTAAAATTATTTATGGCCCTCTCAGTCATTAGCCTACTTAAAGATGCATCGTTTACATTTTTTGTATCGGTAATTAGTTTAAGTGTTATACCCCTGTGATCCGAAATAAAAGGCTCAATGGCATCTATAATAAAAATTTTTTTTTCTAAGTTTGTAAATAAATTGTCAACTCTTGTTTTATTTTTATCTGTTACCCTAGTATCTACAAACACAAACAATAAAAAAATATTTCTACAATCATTAACAGCTCTGGTATTTTCCTTGAAATTAAAATTAAAATCTCCAACGACTACTGTTTTGGAGTCGAGGGGAATTTTTTGTTCTATTAGTGTAATCTAGCATATTCACATATACAGGGTGTTAAAAAAAGTGTCACAAAATAAAACGGGGGGTAGTATGGGCCAAAATATGCAGAAAAGTCTTAATAAACATATGTCCGCAAATGAATGGTTTCAGAGATACGGAGTGTTTTGTATCATTTTTTGATTATCTTTTTTCATTCTCAAAAACTTGCTTTTCTTATCGGAGTCTACCGATGTTTTTTCATAGATACTATTTGCAGTTATTATTTTGTTGTGGGTGAATAATTTTATAAATTTTCGTTATGCCTGTTTACACTAATATTGAATTAGCTGACATGCATTTTATGTACGGTCGTGCAAATGGCAATGCGAGGGAAGCGCTACGTCAGTATATCGACGCTTTCCCTAATCGCCACATCCCTTCAGTTCGTGTGTTTGGAAGATTGCACCAAAGATTGCGTGATACAGGTAAATTTGGGAAACAGTCACATGATTCCGGGAGACCAAGGTCGGTGTCCACCCCTGAGGCAGAAGAAACAATTTTAGCACGAGTAGAAGAGAATCCAGAAACTAGTGTGCGAAGAATATCAGCGGAGGTAGGAATTGGGGCTCCTCTGGTTTGGAGAATCCTCCACGAGCAGCAGCTTTACCCGTACCATCTTCAACGAGTGAAAGCTCTGAATGCACCTGATTATCAAGCACGTTTGGAGTTTTGTCGATGGTTTCTGAGAAATGATACTGAGGATCCCAATTTTATTGCACTAATTCTTTTTACTGATGAGGCAGGGTTTACACGAAATGGAGTTTTTAATTTCCATAATTAGCATATGTGGGCCGACGAAAATCCCCATAGTATCGTGGAATCCAGGCATCAAGTTCGTTTTTCATTAAACATTTGGATGGGTATTTATGGCGACTGATTACTAGGTCCGATTGTACCACCTAACCGATTAACGGGAGCTGACTACTTAAACTTTTTGCAGAAATCATTGGGTGATCTTTTAGATGACATTCCTTTAATACAAAGAAATCAAATGTGGTTCCAGCACGATGGTGCTCCGGCGCATTTTTCAGTTGCCGTAAGAGAACATTTAGACGGATCCTTTGGTCGAAGATGGATAGGAAGGGGTGGACCTGTGCCATGGCCTGCAAGATCGCCTGATTTAAATCCGCTTGACTTTTTTCTTTGGGGACACTTAAAAAATTTAGTGTACGCCACTCCTGTGAATAACCTCGAAGAGCTGCAGCAACGAATAGAGCAGGGATGTCATCGAATCCTAGCCAATGAGGGTGTTTTGGAAAGAGTCCGACAGTCCTTTCGGAGGAGATGTCGTAGCTGCATTGAAATGGAGGGAGGGCACTTTGAACATCTCATTTAACTCTATGTTGTTATTGATTGTTTATAAATATCATTGTTTTTTTATAATAATAAAAAATTGTTATAAACACAAAATGGTCCGTATCTCCGAAACCGTTAATTTGCGGTCATATATTTATTAAGACTTTTCTGCTTATTTTGGGTCATACTATTCACCATTTCATTTTGTGACACTTTTTTTTTAACACCCTGTATATCAGTGTCGCCATTTGGCGAACGATAAGTGCCTACTACAACAATTTTGCTTTGAGTTAACTGGCAACAAGCAAATTCAGCATTTAAATCACTACAAAGATCATTGACCTCTATAATGCTGCAGGGTATGTTATTTTTTGCAAAGATACAGACTCCACCATGTTCACGAGAATTCCTTACATAACTTGATATAACCTTAAAACCAGGAAACACGGCAAACTCTAGTTCATCATGTTTAAGCCAAACCTCTACAAGAATAAGAATACCTACCTTAAATTTTTGTACCAACAATTGCATTATATTAAATTTATTACGAATACTCCTTACATTAATATAGAAAATATTAAGAGTAACCAAATTTTTGGAGCCAACCTTTTTATAATGTGATCCTTTAACGGCATAAAAGTTGCTACCCTGTGCATGTGAGCTTACATCGACTCTTTCAGTAGCTAATCTTTTTGAAAATCTGAAATCCCCACATCTAAAAAATCAATATGGGTGAGATTAGGATTGGTTATGTCTAAACTAAAACTATTTTCTGTATCTGAATCATATAGACTAATAGGTGCCGTGGGACTCTTTTCAATATTATATGTATCTATTTCATTTATTCTAAAAACTTCTGGTTCATTAGGTTTAATATAAATTAAATTTTGATGTTCAATACATGGACAGTCTTTTGCACTCTTTATGGAAAGAGCTATAGATGGAGAGGATATTTTTATTAATGTATTAATCGGACGTTTTTTTTTACTCTGTAATCTATACTTAGTAACATTTTAACTTTAATATTATTTTCTAAAATAACTGTTCTAATATATTTTTTTTAATTTCGTTAGGTTGGCCATTTGCTAGTTTATTAGGCTTACCGATTGCCTATGACATGCTAGTGAGAAGAAAACTGTACCTGGACTTTGCAGCTTGGTCTGCATTATGTGCTCTAGTCATTTTAGTACCAATGATAATTATAGACTCGATGCTTTTTGGTAAATTAATAATAGCGCCTCTCAATATTGTAAAATATAATGTACTAGGAGGTGCTGGCCCTAGTCTTTATGGAAAGGAACCGTTCTCCTTTTATTTGTTCAATGGTTTTGTCAATTTTAATTTCGTATGGGTAAGTTAGTTGTTTAAGAATAAATTGATGAATATTAATTAGAATGAAAATCATTTTATCTTTTTTTTCTTTCTTTATTTGTGTCGTTATTTTGTTTTATATCCCCTATATGTAAATTTGTTTAAAGTTATTTTTTTGTGCTTTAGTTGAATATTTTTTTTATATCTAAATAGTTGTGTTGCATATCAAAAACCAATTTGTCAATGTATTTTTTAAAATATCTTCATAGTCAAACTCCTTATAAATTAAATGCATTTGTAAAAAATACATTTCATTAACTAATTTTACTTAAATTTCAGGTATTTGCTTTGCTCAGTCCTCTAGCAATAATGTTACATTATTTCTTTGTACCTACAAAAAACAAGTGCACATTCTACTTGCCTTACGGACTTTCCTTGAGTCCCCTTTACCTATGGTTAGCGGTTTTTATGCTCCAAGAACACAAGGAAGAACGATTTTTGTTTCCAGTGTACCCTCTGATATGTCTCAGTGGAGCTATAACAGTCGATATTGTCCAAAAGTTATACTTTCGACTTCTTAACTTGTTCCAAAAAATGCCTCATGGGACCCACTACCTGGACAAAACAGTTTTTATCATGTTTATAAGTATTATTATTACTTCTTGGTTAGGTAAGTATTTTACATGTATTTTAAATTTATTCCTGGACATTTAAATATAATTAATTGTACATGATTATGTATATTTTTTTTAGGGATATCGAGGGTATTTTCTCTTTATCGCAACTATCATGCTCCCTTTGATCTCATGATGGAATTGAATAGGTATCCAGTAGATGCAAATATTCCAGAGAGAGCCCAAATAAATGTTTGTTTTGGTAAAGAATGGCATAGATATCCTAGCTCGTTTTTTCTACCAAATAACAATTGGAATATAAGGTAAGCACTACACAGGGTGTTTCAGTGTGAATTTCAGTTTTCAAATAGAACTAACGTCGATGCGCATTGGCTCTTAACACCATTTATTTTTATTTGCTTCGCTAACGCCTCAAAATAATTACATAATTTAACAACTTTTAAAATTTTATATTTTTTCTTAATGCCAATTAATACTCCTCCAACAGTACTTTTCTTTGTAAAAAATCAAATTCCTATTAGTCCTTATTAAATTAAATATGTCAATATTAACTATTTCGCCACCTCTTACCACATCCTGTAACCATGTTTCGACGGCAAAAATAATATCTACTTTTGTTTTGTATTGATACGTCTGCAATTTTGATAGCCCACCTTTACATCAGTAAAAGTAGTGAACATTGATACGAAAACAAGTTTGAGTTCTGTTATTTGAATTACATACCTACTAAAAAATAGAAAGATAATGGTATACCTGTGGTTAAAAAACTGAAATATAATATTTTTTCAATATATAGCTGCATTAATATTATTTCCTAATTATTATTTTTATTATTATTTATTAGCCATTCAGTTTACAGTAATTTAAATTACAAATATACACAATAACTTAAATATAAAGGTATTCTAATTACCTAATAGTGTGACAAGAGCAACCAGAATATCTCGTAAGTTTAGTTTAAAGTCATACGCTCTATTTTTCATCTGATTTTCATGAAATTTTTTTCAGTTATTGCTTGGGGCAGAAACAATCTTTTTTTATTTTCTTTTTTTTTTATTAAGTAAATTTTTGGAAATTTTTAATGTTTCTGTCCCAATGTATAATAAATTTAAAAATTTTTGACAGTCTTTATTTAAAAAAAAAGTAAATACTTTTTAAATGGGATTAATATTACGCTTTTTAATTAAAATTGGCCGCCAGGTGCTGCTACCACTCTGCTATAACGGGCGAGGCTCGATGTGGCAAAGCTGCACCGAGCAATATCGACAAACATTATTTCGCTCTGCATGATTTGGTGTATTACTTTCAGTCGTAGAATTTTTTATATTTTTGAAATACTAGTAACAATATAGGGACCGTGCTTGAAATATAGAGGTAGCACTACTGCCGAAGTTAGCCCTCTCTAGTGTTTAATTTTAGAATTAAATGGGGTAAACATTGCAAGTAAATAATAAAGGATATTTTTTTTTAAATATTAAATATAGTTACAAATAGATACCGGCCCGTACCAAACAATCGTGTACATGGTTAAAATGACATAAAATGTGAAACGTTATTAAAATCTGGACATGTATATACATTTTAAGCAAAAAGATTTAAATGGCTAAGTGACAATAAATTGTAAAGTTTTACGTTGTACCTTAAACAAGTGTATCCAATGTCAGAATATCGGTATTTAGTAACACTGAATTTAAAAGTATTACAATAACATTTAAAAAATGTAAATTAATAAAGAAGATTGATAATAATAATAAATCTTTATAGCTTTATGTTAGTCGAAATGTCATTCATCCACTGACGTTTATGAGATGTCCATTGATACATATAGATTGCTCACCCATCTATAAAAATATTATGAAAAGCGGGTTGCAATGTGCTTTTCCTAGTGCTCACTAAATTAGGCATTCCAACGACCTGTCCAAATGGCTACTAGTGGGTACTGACAGTTTAGATATGGCAACCCTGTTGTCACGTTGTCATTAACAGGGTCAATGATACATATATGTTATATACATTGCTCAAAGCTGGTCGTTTGCGAGCAGCCATATTGCCTGACAAATATTTATTAATTTGAATCAGTTTAGCAAAAATGTGTTTTAAAACCAATTTTCAGACATTAGATATTTAAAAAATAATAATTGCTTATATTTTTACTTCAAGGCATAAGCTTATGTTTATTTTAAAAATGGGATGATCAATCTATGTAACTATCTATTTCACTCACCTTGTCAAATCACCAGGCCTACAGAGGAGCCATAACTTTGCCACATCATAACCTGTCAAAACCCACTGGTAGTCATTCAGTTTGGAATGCCTAATAGAGCCGTTCTAGCCCAAATGTGTTTTAAAATAAAATTTCAGCATTTTAATCTTTAGAAAAAGAAAATAATTAAAGTTTTACTTCAAGACATGTTATTATGTATTTGGAAAGTTGAGTTTCCATGTAGTTAAATAATATTAAGAGATCTAAACAATTTTTATAACAGATGGATATAAATAATTTTAGACTACCTACTCTCATTTCAGAAATAATACTACATAAAATACATAATTGCAATATGTAATACAATTTTGAAAAGGTAATGTAAACAACTTTGATATGAGGTATAAACAACTTTGGTAAGAGTTGTAATTGGACACTTATCTATTATTCTGAATAATGTTTACACAGACAGCACACCAAATCCTTTGAATACCTACTGGACATCCCAATATCCACTGAATGTCCAGTCCATGGTGGATATCTATTTTATATCAATGAGATGTAATTTATAGACATGCAAATGTCCATAAATAATAGTAATTATATAGCAAATTATTAAAAAATTACGCCATTGTGGTTAATAGTACCGTTCAGATATTTAAAATTAATTTTTTTAAGGTGTATTCAATATCCCATGGACATCCACTAAATATATCAAAGTCTAGGCGCGAACGTAAACCATGGTGGATATCCACTAGATGTAATTTTTGATTTTGCTTACTAAGTATAGATGGCGATACCACTTTCGCTCGTTTCGAAATTGGTTTCTCAATCAAACTCCATTAGAGACTGGAGTCGAGAATTTCCATTTATTGCTGAAGAGGCCTAATAAGGATGAGGTTCTCCTTAGTGGGCAAAATCAAAGGAAAGACAGTGTTGAAAATATTTTTTATCTCTGCTATTTTCTTTCGATGTTATTCAATAATCATTGGTTACTTATGAACCTCTACTAAAGATACCTATAATATATTTTGCTGAATATTCGAATATCTTCTATATCCTGGGATATAGACGGACATTTGCATATCCATATTAGATCCACTGGATATATTGGATATCCACAAAATATATTCTGTGGATATCTCTGGGATTTATTGTATTGTCTGGAAAATACCCATTAAATATTTTGCTGGATATCCATATGATATCTTCTATATTCTGGATATAGACGGATATTTGGATATCCATATTAGATCCACGGGATATTTTTGATATCCTGTGGATATATTGGATATCCACAAAAGATATTCTGTGGATATCTCTGGGATTTGGTGTGTTGACTGGGTAATGGTAATGTCACTAAAAAACTTTACAAAAAATCACTGGATTTTTAATATTTTAAAGCTTGTTGCAATCTCTTTTGACAGTAATTGCAATGTATTATTTATGATTTGTTTATTTTAATAATAAATGAGAAATAGTTAATAAATTGTAAAGAGGGCCATGATATTTTTGTCAAATTGAACATTCTTATTTCATAATTACATTCTACATTAGTTTTAATCAACAGAATAAACCATTAATTATCTGTAAAATTATATTTATATAAAATGTTTATTTAAATATGTAAAAATCTTAATGACAAGAAATCACTAAAGATTCTAATTTCTAAACCGGTTCTGTAAATGATTTCTTTACAACTAAGTGCTCAAAATTGATACAAGCTAGATAAAAAGAAAACTTTGCCCAGTGAAACACGCTTTTCGTCGTCTGATTTACATATGGATAAGCAATCTTTGTAATTATGTATATCATTGGGTGTGAGATATTAATTGTTGTGCTCTGTAGAAATTTATAAAATTTCTTTATTATCGAATGAAATGCAGGTTTCCAAAGTGATGTGTTTGTACATCCACGGATGCAACAAGTTGTTTCGATAAGGATATTACGAAAATAATTCGACTTTATTTAATTAATAATTATTAAACAATAAATGCCGTATAAAACATTAATAAATACGCCCCATAAAGTTCACATTTTTGTCACCAGTTAGCGTTAAAGTCATGACGCACGGACCCTATTTTCTATTTCATTTTTATTTTGAATTACGTATTTTTTTGGAAATAACTAGTAATTTTTATAAGAAACATTGCATCTCATTTATCGATTTTGAAGATTGTAGGAGAAAAGCAAAAATGTCGTTTCGGAATTATTCGAAACATTTTTCAGCAATTTCTTTTCGAGTTGTGATAATTTTTCAAGGAAAAAATATTTAGGGAGGAATAAAAGGTGACATGGATGGACATGCAATATAAAAAAAATATCTATTTTTATATGAGTGAAATATTTATTTGTTTTTTATAAATTTACATTTCTTAATTATTTTCTACAGTTTTCTCTTGTGTTCAAGTTCCTTGTTGCCCTTGGATCATCTAGCTCCGGAAGAAGACAGTTGAAAAAAAATATTTTTAATTTCGGAACCATTTCGTTTAACCAGAAGTTGTCATCTTTATAAATCTAAAAAAAGGTCATTAATAAAGTTAAAAAAAAGTTAATTAATACCTAGTTACCTCTTCAATTAAGTAACCTTTTGGACTCCATATAATGAAGTAGCATTTTTTTTTGTTATTGCTAATTGCCGTTGGACCTGGAAGTAATATTGTCTTCTATTGAGTGCGAAGGAATCATTTTCAAGTTTGCCATATTTTATTTTTTTTTTGTTCGTATGCCCTCTTCTGGACTCATGCCCTTAATATTCAAATGACACTTTATTTCTAATATGGCGTTGTCATCCACCAATCCATCTGGACTAGCACCAAAAAAACTATATTCTTTATCGATGAATAACCCACATTTTTTTTTACTTTGTGTTTGGAGATTGCCTCAAAATCTTCGACTGCAAACGGCTCGTTTAATTTCCCATATTGTGTCGCGTTGTTGCCTTTAAATTTGTTGTATAATAATACTTTAATTGAGTTGATGCTGCTACTGTTTGCTTTTAGTTTACAAATTTTTCCAAAATTTGATGCGGTTATCCTTTTTTGTCTCTCTTCCAAACATAGAATGGTTCCTTGGTAAGATCCTCTATTGTATCAATCTCTTCTTGCGTTTTATTTAACATATTTAGGAATTCCAGTTCTCTCAAATTATACTCATTTTGATCCATATCAGGAATAGGTTCGTGGATATTACCATAGTCCCTATCTGGAAGAGCGTATTTTTTTTTCAATCGCAGCTATTGTCGACGCTCCTTTCTTTCGTTAGTTTCGCAAATCTTAGTTTCCTTTTTCCAATTATTTTTAAATATTTCTTTGTGTATGTATTGGGCTCATTTCCTGTTATTGCCTTATGGAGTATATCATAATATTCTGCTTCCTTGTTGAATGATATTACCGCAGCTTCACATCTGGTCTGATCGGAATTCCTTTTCAAAAAGTTGATTCTATTTCCTTCAACGAATTTGCAAACTATTGAATTATAATGTTCAGCAAGATTATTATTCATATTGTGTGTGAATTAAACTTTCAATATTCAAAATAAGTCGATTCAGGCAAACCAGGATGTCTCTGTATAACCCACATTCTTTCATAAATGTTACGAAATTGGTGCGTTTTCTGTCACATTTAAAATAATTGATCGCTTCACATTCGGCTTGTTCACCAAATACATGGGAAGGGGCATTGAGGATCTCTTTTCAATAGTTCTACTTTGTTTTTGAAATCGGTGTTTTCTTCAATTCGATATTTCGTTGCCTTACTAATAGCAAATCTTAAACGTTTTGAATTTTTTCCACATCTTTTCTTACGTAGACGGGTACAGAAGAATTCGTAGAAACACTCCGGGGTTTCTCTAAAAACATACAATATTATAATGTTAGGAAGTCATTAAAGAATTTACTCATGTTAGGTATGACATTAAAGAATTTACTGACTACATCTGACTGACTATATTTCTTAATTTAAAAAAAAAATTCCTAAGCAGATGGTTTCTACATTCAATTTTCGAAATTGCTGTTTGGGGACCATACGGTTTGGTTTCCATCAGTTTCTTATACACAGAACTGTCACCATCGCCAACCAAGGTGACATATTTCAAACCACGTGTATGTATGCTGCTTCGAAATCCTTCAATAATAATGTCTGTTTCCATTGATGTAGACGTACTGGTCCAGTTTTTAAAACATTTATGTTAAGGTATTTCTAACTGTTTCCGGTTGTAAAAATCACAAGTACTGCAGAATTTGTTTCTAACTCCCACATATAATGATTTTTCAGTCCGGTAACCTACAATACATTACATCCCTAAAAAGAATAATGTTAAAAATATCAATTTCTACTTGTATAAAATTTAGACTTACCACTCCAGAAAAAGCATTATAGTTGACGTTATATGATCGTTTTGACCATGCTTCATTTGTTATCACAGTTATAAATGGAATTCCATTTCCATCTACTTCTCCTAAGCTTTTGGCCAACTCAGCTTCCTCTCTTCCAGCTTCTTCCATTACTTGCGCGGCTGCTGAGTAAATTGCATCAGCCACTTTGTCGTGATAGTGGATGTACGTTTTCTCCGCAATCATTGGCGTATTTATTGCAGATGCTATTTCAGCTAAGGTTGAGTAACCGATACCAATCGAAACTGCTCCCAAAGTCAGTGCCGAATTGATATATATTGAATCAGTGGTTCCTGAGATATTATTCGGATCTTCCGAATAAATTTGTTTAGTTATGGCACACATTTTAGATTTAAAAGTAAATGTTGACATAAAACCCTTTCTCACTTCATTGATAACCAACCTCCATATCTGTGATATCACATCCAAACAGTCCGTGCTTTTCTCCATCAGCAATTTGTTTGAAAAGGATGTCTACTATCCTTCTTCCAGTGAGAATAAAATCATCGGAGATTGTCTTTGGCTGCAAAGGCACATTTATGATATCTATGGTAAAAATATAATATTAAAAAATTATTTTTATTTGTATATTTGACTTAGGGATGGATTGGTATAAGAAAATGCCTGATTCGATCCGAAATAAGATATTCTGGTTGGATTCACGTCCATCCCTAATTTATTAACTATTTGACTATCTCACTTATTTTTTCATTATATTTCGACGACTTTTTCTTGCAATATTCAAATGCACATGTTTTCCTTTAGTCAAACCACTACTATCCATCTTCACATCGAACAATAAATTACACACTACAAATCAGAAAAATCAGCACAAACTCTTATTCTCACGTTCGTAACTATACTGACTTTGTAATACATTGTCCTTGTATTTATTTAAAATATGTTAATCCCTCTAAACCATTCTAGCAAATAAACAATAAACAATTAGGTCAAATCATTTCCTTATTTTGCTGTTATAATCTATAGACAGATACAAAACAACCACTCTAAATTGCTGTTTAATTTTTAAATGTTATAGGTATAATTATAAAATACTAGGCGCTTATTAAAATAATATTACATTTAAATAAGAAAATATGATATTTCCGTAAATTTATTTTGATGCTAAAAATAATTTTTTAATTCTAAAATTAATTATCAAGAATACAGGTACTTGTCGGTGTTATTTAATTTAAAAAATATCTATACCACCTACTGAAAATGGAAATTCCATTTCTAAAATTATTTATTATAATTTAGACCTTGCTAGACACTTCTTTATCATCTTTCACTTCTAATATTTCAAAACTCCAATTTGGCGGTTGGTTCTTTTTAAATAAACCTAGTGAAAATAATTTCAATATTTCTTTATTATTTCTGATTGTCAGGACTGATTTTAATGCAGCCATCACCTGAACCGAATCCAGTACCTTTTGAAAATTCTAGTGTTCACAATTAAAAAAATATGTTTATTTTACAGGTTTATAAAATCAGAATTCGATGGAATGTTACCAGCACCGTATGCGGAAGGTGAAAATGCGACGACGACCATCCACAAGTACTTCAATGACCTCAATAAGGAATCGCCAGAATTATATTTTGACATCAACAAATGCCATTTTATTTTAGATTCGGATTTAGGACAAGAAACGACGTTAGAACCTAATTATGCGAACCAAAAGGATCGATGGAAAGTCGTAAAATCCTATAAATTTTTAAACGCCGAAAAATCGCATCGGTTTTTTCGCGCTTTTTTAATCGTTTTTATGTCTGATAAATATATTACTTTTGGTAATTTTAGTTTGTTACAATCGACAAGATTAAAAATTAAGTAATGGTCTTACTGGATATGTGAATAGATGGATGTAGTTATGATTTTTACAAATTTTATACATTCCAATAACGGATTTTTCGGGCAATAAAACTTTTTTCATCTATGGACATGTTTTGTATAAGACATTTTTTTTTTTCGGATTTGTAGTTAATTTCTTTACATAGTGATCCCCGTTCTTAATGACAAGACAGTCTTTTTTAAGCTAAATTATTACAATATGCTATTAATATTTACAGACGGTATATCATTGACTGGATTTTATAATAGTACTGCCTAACAAATTATACTAGAGCTGTTTTCAAAATTTTAATTACAATAAAATTCGAAATTGTAAAGAAAATAGTTAAGTTTTCAAAAAACAAAAAAATTAGCCTCTTTGAAATTCTTGTTTTAGTTAAGTGGTCAAGAATTTGCTGAAATTCAGTAACCACCACATTGGCGTTAGGAAATCTCTTACCACTTACCACACTTTTTTTTTTAATCGGGCCATAAAAATAAATTACATGACTGCAGATTCATATGAACAGTTTGTGGCTGTATGTACAGTTGCGTTACCATAGTTTAACAAAATTACAGGTAAATCAGTTGAAATGCAAACATTAATGTTTGTCCATATCCATGGTCAATAACTCAAATTTTACAGACACTGCATCACTTCACTTAATTCAAAATAAAGCGAACATTGAACCAATCAAGACAAAAAAATGTATTATAAACATTTCAGTTTACAATAATACGCATGTATAGCCAATAGGTACCATCTGTAATTATTTTTACATACAATTTAAAAATGACTTACTCATTTCATGGCAGCCATATACCTATAGGAGTATTTGTTGATAGCTTGCTATTAGGTTTGCTGCTACAGGCAAAACTTGCGCATATCCTATTGACTGCGCCAGCCTCAATTAACTTAAAAAAAAAAACACTTTTTACCAATATCATTTGAATAAAACCCTCGGTTGTTTTCTAGGTATCAGCGTTTATTATTATTGGTTCGGCAATTACTTTCTATCACTTTTAAATAAATTGTAGAGGGTGATTGTTTAAATGCTACTGAGTAAAAACTATCAATTTGACAGGTAAGCCAGACGGGTTGGGGACACACTGCATATGCGACTATTTTGTGCCTACAACAGGCCTCAAAAATAAGAAAATTGGCCCTTTCTGACAAAAAATAGAATATATAAGCCAAAAAAGTAGCAAATTTGCCCACACTGCACATGCTATGTTCCCCCAACAGGCTTGGCGTGTTTATCGAGCCGTACACCTTTAATTATAATATATTTATAATCACAAGAAAACACTGTAAAAAGTAATAGAATTTCCACTCTATACAAAAGTGATGCAACCGTTAAAAACATGAAACAAACATGTGATTATGTCTGCAATAGTTTAATTCTGTATCTACAAAGCCTACTAAATAAATACTAATAGGTTTAAAGTAAATAGTATCAGAACACGCAAGGAGTGTTCTGCGCACATTAGGTTTAAGCCGCTGGACACACCAGGGTGCGTATGCTTGAAAACGAGATAAACTGAAACTCTCCCAAAAAAGTGGTATTCTTGAAATTACGTAAAAGGCCAGTGAGGAGAAAGGGGATAGTGAAAATGATTACAAACTTGCCAGATCGTTCCAATTAGAAACTACGAACTTTTGACAGTAAATGAATACTGGCATTTTATACAGTATGTCGCTAATGTATGGAATAAATTCATTATTTCTAAAATAATCGACTTTTGAAAAAAATCCAAAAACAGGTCAATTTTAATTTTTGAATCGTTATCACATGATGTAGATGTAACGAACATTACGTCACCAGTATTACCGTGGTGACGTAATCGGCAATTTTTTTAAATGCAATCATGTGTCTCAAAACACCTCATTGGAAAGGTCTTCTAATCGTCTTTACAACGATGTAATTATTTGAATATTTATTTCTACAGGGTCGACCAGAGCCCCGAGGATTCGGCGCCTATGACTCCAGGGATACAAATTCAGGATGCGCAGAAGACTGTTGTTTTATTATAGGCGGTTGTCATATATTGTATTATCCGAGTTGCGCAGTGTATAAACTGGAACATTGAGATCAAAAGTGCCGACGCAGAGTGAGCGATCTGATTCTTTAGCTATAAACTGTGGCATAGGAATCAAAATGGCCGCGCCCTATGTTGGGCGTGTCGGACCTCTCTCTTGCACCGTATAGTAATCAAAGTATGTGACGAGTCATTTTTGCTGTAAAAGCAACTAGTAACAAGCATTGCGTTCGATCTGCCAAATTCCTTCAACTCTTTTAACTCCAAACGACCCTTTTAGCGTTCGGTTTAGTCCGATTAGTGACAGTTTAACACGCTTAAATGTTAAAAGCACCCTAAAATTTGTCCAGCTCCAGCCCCTGACTATCCGAACTCGCCTTATATATCCTGAAAAACTTCACTTTTACAATTTATTACAATATGGAGGCGACGACGGCAAAATTACGAGATGGCAAAATAAAAAATCGAAAAGAGCAGTTAAAAATACATCAAATCGCCAAATATAAAAACTTCCGCAAATTTTTTCAGCTAAAGGTAATATTATACAGCGCGTAATTACTGGAGTAGAAGAAGTAGAAAGTAAAAATGTTTTCTCAGTATTTCTCTCTTCCCAATTTCAGAATAGGCATCCTGGTGTGTCGTAGGCAGTGAAAAAAATAAAAAAACGAGTTGACAAAAAAATAATGTACCGTCAAATGTAAAGTAAATCACAATTTTGGAATTAGGCTGTATACAACGCGAAAAAAGAACAATATTTTCATTTTATTCGATGCGACTGTTTAGTGAAAGCACAAAATTAATCGAGCATGTCTGTTGATAGTGGATAAATAATAAAATACGGTTTCAAAAGACTGAAGAGTTTAAAAGACTATAAAGGAAAATTTTAAATTATTATTAATTACTTACATACTAAAGTGGGAACAAAAATATAACGAATGCATTTTGTTAACCTGGTTTTTGTATTTTCTGTTTAATAAACGTTAGTTACCACCCACTTTTATTTATCTAACCCTAAAAACAAAACAAAAAACCTTTAAATATAAAGACATTTTATTGAATGATAGATAAGTAAAATAATTACATAAGTAGCAATTAACTTTAAGAAGAAAAAAAGTGACTTTAATTGTATAAAATTATACATCGTTTTTTAACAAACGAAAAGATCAGTCAACTTTTAGAATATATTGGAAACTATATACAAAAAAAATAGAAGTAACAAAAAATTATAGAGTATAAAAAATATACTAATTTGAATACATACTATCTACAAAAACAAGAATATTTTATTATCGTACTTTAGAAATCAAAATTAACAAAAAAAAAAAAAAAAAACAAAAAGTAATTCATACACAGTCATGTTATTAATAAATCTATTTACAAATATTTACACTAAAGAAAGCCTGCTTATTTTAATACTTTTAACACCTAAACGAATCAAGATTCATCTTTATATTTCAACCACTCAAACATCAAGTCAGTTTTCTTTTACTCAATACAAGAGGAAGTGACGATTTTACGTATCTATTTTTCATCTTTTATGTAGATTTTGCAACTGCAATATTAAAAAGTAGTGTAAGAATTGATGTAGAATTTTTCTAGGTACGTATTTTTTTGTATTTCCCGTCAACTACAGAGAACAAAGTGGAAATATGTTTTAAACCATCACTTCCTCAAAGAAATATCAAATATGTATTGAACTAATTTCAATTTAAACTTATGTATGTTTATATAATAAACTAATCTTTAAAAAAAGACATAATTCATTCCTACAATCTTAAAAAAATAAAATAATACCACGACTGACCAAAGACAACTTGTTTGTCAATAATCTTGCACCGAAATAAACATAAAATGTTCACTTTACTGGATCCTTACGTTCTTAGAAAATCTCAAATAATGTATTGCGACTTGGTACCGCTAGACGACGCTTGTCTCGTCGGGTCAGACGGTCGCGGTGATGTACCTGCGGATGATGTTAGAACCTTGTATTTTGAACTAGCTAATGTAGCAGCACTAGTCGTGAAAATCTTTCCAGCTAAGCCTATCGAACCGTTGCCCACTAGTTCGTAGTTTCCAGGCGTTGTCTCGACCAGAGTTAGGCCCGATGTCGGCACAGTCTATAAAAATTAAAGAAAAAGTCTGATAAAAACAGGAATTTGTCTTCTTCAATAATTAATTACTGGATGTAGTGTCATGTTTACAAGTTTAAAAACATTTCAAAAAATATCGGCCAGTTACTACTAATCACTTCGTTTTTGTATAGCGTCGATATTAGAACGGAACCAAATTGATGGTATGTGTTTTTTTTATTTTTCTCGACGCCGGCGCCGTAGGCGGAAGGAAGTTACCTTAAGAAAAAAGTAAGAATTTAAATATAGAATAGTGTGAACTCTCAATTATTATTAGCAAAATAATGTTATATCTACTAAAAACAAAAAAAAAAATAAACTAAAGGTGTGCACGAGTTTTGTTTTTTAGTTCACATATGGTACAGTAAAAGATCACAAAATTCAGATATCTTGTTAGCATTACTACACATAAAATTTATTGGAGATTTTTGCATTCAATTTGTTTGAGCTCTTTTACATTGAAATGGTATATTATGCCTAGAAGTCAATCTAGGAACTTGAAAATCAATCTTATATAACAATTCAGAGCTATCAGCTTTATTACTTAAAAGTTTATGTAAGCATAAAACATACGTGAAGGTCGGTTGACCGAACAACACACCTTATTTGTGATCTCTTTAAAAGTTACTGTAAATATTGGTATACCTACGAATTTAAGTACAATTTTTTTTTTGTGAGTGCGTATAACCTGTTTCTATTGTTTAGTATAACGTGTAGTGCATTAAATAATCCTAGAAATCTACTTCAGAGTGCATTTAATCAGTGGGAGACCTACTTGGTAATTCTTATCAATATCATTCTTATACAAAAAAATGTAAACCAGCACTTTAAATATATTAGTTGCGGAGCTAAATCGATTTGAGTATATTCTGTTTAAATTTGCCAAATGTCTGATATTGATATTTTAAAAAGATTCATTGTTGAGCAGAATGAGATTCTTGCTCAAAAGATTGCCTTAAAAATTGATGATGTTATGTCAGAGGTTTCTGAAAATAAAAAGCATGTTGAAAAATTAGAACAAGACGTCGTCGACTTGAAAAATAAAAACATTTCACTTGAAATGAAAATTCGAGAGAATAATGTACTTATTTTTAATTCTGAATATAACGAAAGTGAAAATGTTATGCAATTTACCATAAATTTATTTCATAATCATCTTAATGTACTCATTAACGAATATGATATAGGAAATGTCTACTCATTTAAAAGCGCTGGTAATCCTATTATTTTTGTCAAGTTCAGTAGAACTATTACTAAACAAAATATTCTAAAGAACTGTAAGAAGTTAAAAGGTAAAAAGATATTCATTACCGAGGATTTGACACCTACAGAAAAAGATCATCAAAAAGTCTTGGTGCAATACTTAAAAAAAGCTCGCTCCAATAATTACAAAGCTCATATCTTCCGAAGTACCCTGTTCATTAACGGGCAAAAATACAAATATAATGATATCATCCAAGGAAATGTGCCAACCGAATTAACAATTTCACACAGTCAAGATCTTGTACAGGATGATGATACTTTTGCAGAGAGTTCCCAGAAACGAGGACCGTCATCTCCGGCTGATAAAAATTTGGAAGCAGCTAATACAAAATTACTCAGAAGTGGGTCTAGCTCCAGTATCAATGGTGATAGACAACTGCGAAGTGGCAAAAACAAGTTAATCGCGTGAAGTGTGATCGCTTTGCTGTAAAATTAAATTAAATTCTGTGAGTAGTTTAAGTATTTTTATATTATCATTCTGAACAATTAAAAATTTATTTTTGAACTACAGGTTCACGTTAATATCTTTCTCTCTTGCTTTTAAATATGTTTATTTTCAATAGTAGTATTTAGGTACATCTTCGTTTCTTGAATATCTCTGGGTTATTTATTCTTTCTTTTTCTTTGTTTACGTTATTTTTTTAATTTATAAAATAAGTTGGTATGGCAGATTTAAAAATAGCATGTATTAATATTAATTCTCTAGCAGCGAAAATTGTAGAACTGAGAGAGCATATAGAAATACAAAAATATGACATAATTTGTGTAACTGAGACCAAGCTCAATGAAAATATACTGGACAATGCCGTCTTAATAAACAATTTCAATTTATTCAGACGAGACAGGCTAAGTGATACAGTTGGGGGTGGAGTAGCTGTTTATATTAATTCCTCTTGGCAGGTATCGGAGATTGAAGAGTTTTTTGATGATAACATTTGTTATGAACAATTGTGGTTAAAATGTATTATCGATAAAAAGCCCTATGTCATTGGCGTCATTTATCGTCAACCTAAACAGCCGCTTTTAGAATTTATTAGAGATTATGAAAATGTTATGATGAATGTTTTAGCTTCACATGAAAATATAATATGTACAGGTGATTTTAACATTGATTTATTGAGCGACACGGCTGCTTCTCGACATTTAAATAATTTATTAGAAAGCTTTGGACTAACTCAATATGTGACTCAACCGACACGCATTTCTAAAACGTCTGCAACGCTACTAGACTTAGTAATATGCACTGACAGCATAAACGTTTGTGATTGTGACGTACTGCACGATGAAATAAAAAGTGATCACAGTCTGGTTAAAACGAATATTCTTATTGATTCTAAAACCGAAATAGTTAACAAGATTAGGTACCGTAACTTTAAAAAAATTGATAAAATGTTATTCGAAACTGAGCTACGCAGGCTTCCGTTTGAAAATATCCTGCTCACTAATAATATTGACTCTAAAGTAAGTATACTCACAACACTTATTTTGCAAATATTTGACACTTTCGCCCCAATTCACTCGGTGGTTCTGAATAAGCAGTCCAAGCCGTGGATAACGGATAACATAAAATTACTCTTCAAGTTGCGCGATAATGCTCTGAGACGTTTTAAGCGGACTAAGAGAGAAGCACATTGGGACTATTACAAACTTTTACGAAACTTTACAAATAGAGCTGTTAACAATGAAAAAAAAGCGTATCTGCGATACAAACTCTCTAATAAAACTTCACCTAAATTGTTATATAAAGAATTAAAAAAATTAAATGTTTATTGTCGAAAAAGTAACAGTAATATTCCTGATGAGTTAAGCGATGTAGAAATGTTGAATGATTTTTTCATTAAATCGGCTAAATCTCAACATTCTCCGAATTTAAATATTTTAAACAAACTTATTAACTCTAAAAAAGAAGTTAGCCTTTTTTCTTTCAAGGAAGTAAATGATAATGTTGTATACAGTAGATTGTTAAGTATAAAGTCCAATGCAATTGGAGCTGATGAAGTTGGTCTAGATATGCTCCTGTATTGTTGTCCCTATATCATAAAATATCTTACTCACATTATCAATACGTCAATCAATAGTGCCACTTTTCCATCTCAATGGAAAGCTGTCCACGTACTACCTTTGAGTAAAGTTAAAAACCCTACTCAATATAAAGATATACGCCCAATTAGTATCCTGTGCACCGCAGCTAAAATATATGAAAAAGTCTTATATGAACAAATACAAAGGCATTTAGATGATAATCAAATAATACCATCAAATCAGTCCGGCTTTAGACGCAACTATAGTTGCAATACGACACTACTGTCAATAACTGATGATATCATTGCGGCAAGTGATAATAACCTTCTTACTATTCTAGTACTTCTTGATTACAGTAAAGCCTTTGATAGAATTAATCATCAGCTGTTGCTAGGAGTCTTGCATTTCATTGGTTTTAGCGATACAGCTTTGGATTTAGTACGTAACTACCTAAGTGATAGGTTTCAAAGAGTTAAATTACATAATCGTTTATCTTCTCCAAAAAATATAACAAACGGTGTTCCACAGGGTTCTATTCTCGGGCCTCTATTCTTCTGTATTTATACTTGTTTATTTCAAGATTGCCTTCAGCATTGCCGCTCACATTTTTATGCCGACGATACACAGTTATATATATCCTTTCCCCCTAAAGATTTTCATAATAACATTAAAAATATAACTAGGGATTTAACGGCACTTTTTCAATTATCTAATGACTACTGCCTTGATATAAATTCTTCTAAATCAAAAACCCTGCTGTTTGGTCGAAAGCACTGTCGACTTCAATATAAGGATCAATTTAAGATTATAGTAAATAATGAAACTTTACCTACTTCGGAAATATCAAAAAACTTGGGCTTATTTTTAGATACGGATCTACGGTTTGTAAAACACGTAAATGAGATTATAAAAAAATGTATGACTAACATAAAAATGATATATGCAAATAAATACATCTTAACTCATCAAGCTAAACGTACGTTGTGCGAATCACTAGTATTTTCACATATGCATTATTGCGATTCGGTATATGGCCCTTGTGTAACACGATATGATAGTCAACGTCTTCAACGCATGCAAAATATTTGTATTAGATTAGTGTATAATTTAAAAAAAAGGCAAGGAGTGTCAGCTAAGCGATTTGAATTGTCTTGGCTATCTGTTCAGGAAGCGCGTTTTTTACACACCTGTTGTCTCTATCGAAAAATTGTCAATCTTAAAACTCCCCCCTACTTGTATAACAAAATAAGATTCAGGAGCGATGTACACAATATTAATATTCGCAGAAAGGATGATATCTCCATTCCTCGACATTCCACTGCTATGTTCAAAAGTTCATTTTCATATTTAATAGGCCGTATCTTGAATCTTATACCAATAGAGTTTAAAAAATTAAGTCATGTAACTTTTAAAAATAAGTTGAAATTTTTGTTACTTCGGGGAAAGCTTTTGATCGATTTTAAAATATAAATATTAAATTGTGATTATTTGATTGATCTTTGTATATTTTTATATTTATTGCTTGAAGCAACGTTCACTAATTTTCATTGAGCTTCGTCTACTAGACTAGGTAGGTATTTATGATGTCTTTGTTTGTTATTAATTACAATTTTCATTTTTTTTTATGTGTATCCATTATGTATTTATATATGTACTACATTTAAGGGGTGTTTATATTTAAACTATTAATTTTGACCGGGCGT